GAAGAAATATTGTATATCAATTGCCAAAGCAGTTTGAAGATTTTGTTCTCATTTTGATATTTGATGCGTGAAAAGGACTAGCATGAAGTCCCCATCTACACAACAGATGCTTTGAAGGATCATTCAAAAGAAAATGATCTCTGTATATGAAAGATGTTTTAGGGTTTGGCTTCTACTTGGCAAGGTGTTTGGATTTCATCTAATCCTGGGGCTAAAATTTACCTCTTTGCCTTATTTAGGGCCTGTGCAGGATTGAAGTCCTACGAAAGATCTCAGATAGAATAGAAATAGTATTTAATGCTACTTAGTGCAAGGACCTTTCATTCCCTGGACTCAGTTTTCAAAAACATTTGCAAGCACCTGCAACCTTGGGGCCCAGCCTGTTTGCCTAACTAGCCAGGCATGGTTTGCAACTCTTTGTTCTCAAGGGAGAAAGAGTTTTGAAATCCATTATCAGACAAACTTGAGTGCACTTTGGGATATGAAAAATTGCAGCACAAAAGACAAGTTATAACTTAAATCCTAAGTTCTGCCCAGGTGTAATATTCACTGTAAAAGTGCCCTTATGAGAGTCACTGGGTGTTAAGCTGCCCTAAAAATTCCTATATAGAAATGCACAGATAAAACAGTGAAAGCATTATTGTCCTTCTCCTTTCAGTGTTTCTATTTTAACTAACTTATCTATATTTTTTAATTAACCTACTGCTTGAAGCCACCTGCAATTTTGCAATGCCTTTAATGTGACTTGGTGAATAAGGCATGTCTTGCTTCAAATACTGAAGTCACCAAAGGCCTGAAAAAGAAATTAGAAACTGAGTGAAAAATTACAATACACCAGGCTTTTGAAGTGAAACCAGAGTTACTTGTCTTGTGGTTGCTCTTCTAATACAGGTTTTATTTTCTTCAATTCTATCTGGTTTTATTAAGTGCATTAATTATAACATAACTGTTTGGTTATATAATAACAGATAAAGGTTATGGCTGCAGGGCTGAGTAAGATGGGGAGCCATTAGCTGTTGTTTCTGCCAGAGTGAAAAATACCAAGGCAAAAGTAATTGGCCTGGAGAGAACATTAGATAGACCATGAAAAGTAGAAACTGGATTATTTGTTTTGTCTTGGTACAGTGGTTGTTCACCTGATAACATTGGTTTCTCTTAAACTATAATTAGCATTTAATTCCACTAAGCATTACTAATATCTAAGCATGTTAGATATTAGTGGGACACAGCACAGTATGTTGTAAATATGGCCTTTGGTGCCTAGATGGCTAATTCAGTGCTAATGTCATTATCAAAAATTGCTGAAGAACAATGTCCTAAAAAGTCTGTTCCTCATGAAATAATTTCCTTAGTTATTCAGATGTGACTAATGATGTGTCTTCTGCAGAAACTTTTATTTATGTATTTATTTATTTGGTATGTCCCCTTACTCTTCTTAAGAAATGTTAGGGGAAAAAATGAAGAATCAGTTTTCTATGCTTTTCTTTGCTTCCTGATTAATTTTTGGTCTCAGGAAAGCAAAAATGTACATTGGCAATTTCACACCTTGTTACATCTTCTGTTTGCTTTCATCACATGCATGGCTGTTTTCATAAATGGCAAACATAAACATAAATGATGTAATATCCCTCTGATCTCGACTGTGTGGCTGAGAAATTAATGCATATGTGCAGAACATGTACAATTCACAATGTACACCCACCTTTTTTTGTGTCACGGCAGAGATTTGAACAAGACTTCTGTCTGCTTACATAAGAAACATGGGATATTACAGCTTTATATATCTTGACTATTACGTGAATTTATTTTTTTGCATGTTGTACTCCAAATGGAAGGGCTCTGTGGTTTGACTTCTTTCTATTACGAGGATGCTGCCCTTGCAGAAACAGTGACCTTTGAAAAGCAAGTCTTAAGTAATCCTTTTATTTTTCTGAGATCATGTAGCACAGTATCCAGTTGCAGGCTTTTAAGATGGAATGATTGCAGACTTTGTCCACTTGCCTGGATTGAATTACATTGTGTTTGACAAAGAAAACCCTAAAATACTTATACCTTCCTTCCTTCACTTCAGAGCATCGTAATCTCTGTGCATTGAGGATGCAGAGTGGTTGCTGTATCATGCCAGCACCGCTGGGATTTATTGAATTTACTTAATTGGACTTTATCTCACGGTTACACTTTAACACTTCTTTTGAAGGAGATTCAAAAAGGATACGGTTACTCCTCTTCTAATTTACTTCGAGAGTTGGGTTACTCATTTTCTTATCTTCCATCCATTTCCCGGTAGAGCAGAGCATTCTGTGAGCCACAACTGAACATTTTAGAGACTTGCACACCCAGAGATTTAAGTCCACAAAGCTGCTCACTAGCCAAGCTTTTCGCACACGCTTTTTAAAGGGAATGCTCTGGTTTAGGGGTGTAGGAAGTTTGATGGGTGTGTTTGGGTTGGCTGGTGGTGTATTTTCTGTTGTAATATGCAGGTGCAGAGAAAGGAGAGCTAAACTGCCCTGAACATCCTAGGGAAAGGTTTTGCGGCAGAGTTTGGGAGCGCTGACATTGTTTTCTTGGTTGCAAAGTACCTGTGAGCCTCAGTCCTATAAACACTCAATGAAGAAAACCTCAATGAAGTGGATGAAAAATCCACTATTTTATCAGGTGATTTTGATACTGGGAATTGCGTGATTTTCACCTTCCTGAGAGGCATTCAATACCAGGGAGAACTGAGGTCTCCCCTCACTGCTTTTCTCAAGTTTAGTTTCTCTAATAGGAGTTTAAAATGGTTTAATGCTCAGCACTGATGTTCTCTATCCTACCAGACCTCTGCTGCCAGCTCTGTAAGCATGGGATAGGCATTGCAGGGATTTGGGGGCACTGGAAATCAGTCCCAGAGGACGTAGGTCCCTTTTTTGGAGTGTTTTGGTGGCTCCTCCCTGTACATGGTAGCATCTGAGTGGCTCATGATAAGTGATCAGTATCATCTGTTTAACTTTGATTGTACACTCTGCTTTTACTTGGCAGCATCACCACACAGCGAGGCTTGTTATCCAATGCCCCTGAAAACTATGTAGCTCCCTTGCATCAGAGGGGGCTTCATTCTATTTGGATGGAGCTCCTTACTCTCTCTGTGTTCTCTGGGCTAGTATACCTGACCATACACATGTACATGGATCTCAGATGCACAGTTCAGTTTGCTGTGCACGTGTATGCACAGAGCATATTTAGCCACCTGGGTTCAGTAACAGAAATTCCTTTACCAGATTAGCAGTTTGTATTTATATCTTTGTCACTTGTCTTCACGTAGCCCAAAAACTTGTAGAGGACGTCAGTCAGGGAGGGGTAAGGTAACTTTTGCAGGTGAAAAATAGTTGTTGATCACCATGCAGTGCCTGCATAAATACTGTGGTCATTGTTCAGATCAAGGTGGTTTTTACTCACTCAGTGGAGCAGTTGTGGGCACAGTGGTGGATGCACAGTTAAAAAGCAAACACTGTCTGTCCAGCTTGATGCCAGCTCTCCAACAGAAAACAGTATGGAAATAGCCAACACCTTTCAGGGTCCTTCAAGAGCCAAATGGGAAAAGTAAACAGGAGTGTAAAAAACTAGGGCTGAAGCAAGACTGAGATGTGACAACTTGCTATAAGTCTTGCTGCTAGCCTTCAGTCCAAGAATAATTGTCTGGAGCTCTTCCCTTATTTTCTGGTTTAAAATCAGACCTGGAAAAATTAATGTATTTATTGTCTTTATTTCACTTAATGGGTTGGGGTTTTTTACAGTGTTAAGATAATTTGCTAGTCCTGCATATAGAAGAAATTTCTTTCTATAGCTCCAAATACATTTTGGAAGATGAAATGTGATTGTTTGCTGCTGCTCCTTCCATTCCATTCCATTCCATTCCATTCCATTCCATTCCATTCCATTCCATTCCATTCCATTCCCCATATGGACACAAAAGTCTTTGCCATGGGTCTCCTCAGGCCCCTTATCTTCCTTGCAGGTGCCTGTCTGTGGGGAGGGTGAGTTAAAGTCCCTCATCCAGGCATGGCCTGTTTTTATCTCTGAAGAAGCTGCTCTTGGCCCTGCAAATGGGAGACTATGAGTTTCTCCCATCCCCTTTTCTTTTCCCTCAGTTTTGTTTCCTAACCACTGGCATGAAACACCTTGGGTATTAGGGTTGCATTGCCCATAGCAACTTCTGCTGGAGAGCTGGCAGGGGTGGCAGCAACCACAACTTAAAAAAGTCTCTGCAGACATCGGACTGAATACAAAGGATCAAGGCTGTTTCTGATGCACATGTGTGCTGCAAAGGGCAGATAACCTTTCAGGGCTGCATCTTAAAATAATGAGGAGAGCCTTTATGGCTGCTCTCATGCTGTGGCTTCCCCAAGCACACTCAGAACTTCCAAACTGTGATTGCCATTAAAATCTTTTGCCATTTGCAAGGAATTAGCATCACTATGTGAGCCTGCAACACCCCAGTGATATTTCTGGAGAGCAATTGAATTATAAAGGTTATAATATTCCTTGCTTCTGAAAGGAAGGGGCTGAAAGATGCCTAGGCTTAAACTACTTAAAATCCAAAAATAGTTAATGAGCCCATGTAATCTAAGGTCTTCTGAAAAATATATGCCTTGAAAGCAGGCAAAAGAAAGCAAAGCATAATCAATATGTAAGTCTGATAACATAGACCCCTGACACATTTGAAAAGAGAAGGTGTGGGGTTGATATGTTTGAAAATTGCTTGAAAAGACGGGGTTGATGTGTAAGCTGTGATAGTAGTTCATGTAATTACTTTGCCTTGGTAGTCATGCTACCACAAATCTGTGCAAGTCCAGTTGTTAAAAATGGGCAAATACCACCAAGGTGAAAACAGACTCCACTGATCTGCAGAAGCTAAGGACTGCCGTGTGTTTGAGCATGCACTGATGGGTTTGACTTGGGCTGAGGCAGACCATCTTACTAACCATGGTTTTTGTCTGTTCTGTTTTTCTCCTGTCTTGCAGCACCTTCTCCAGTCAGTACTGTGAAAAAAGGGAAGATAACTAAAAATAGCATCTCCCTTTCCTGGCAGGAGCCAGATCGACCCAATGGCATCATCCTGGAATACGAAATCAAATATTTTGAAAAGGTGTGATGGACTGATTGCTGAGCTTCCCAAGTACCTTCTCTTTATTGTTTTGTTCTTTTAGTTATTATTATTTGAGTCATGGAAGGGAATGGAGAGATTTTATGCATAAATCAATGTCAGATTGATTTTGCAGTAAATGATTAGGATGACTTGAAATGAGGGTGTTGTTTTCCATTAGTGTGCCACTTCTCTTGAACAAATACATTAAATCCGCGTGTCAGATTCCTCTCAAGCTTTATCACATTAAGATTGAGCCTGCTCATTTGTTAAAAGTAGAAGGGGCTGGGGACTGAGCATCTGTCTCCTCCCAGAAACATCAGGCAGCCCCTTGCCTTTGGTATTTCAATTTCTCACTTGATTTTCCATCCATGTGAAAGGAGAGGAGAAGGGGGTTGTGGAGAGACACTGCATGTGCTCTAATATGAAGAAGGGCATCTTGGCTTAAAAACTTGCCTGGGTTTTCCAGCTCTTTCTCTTGGTTTAAAGGGAAGCAGTTTCCCCATAAAACTTGCCCCTCCTAGTCTTCATTTCAAATGGTGACTTGTTATCTGCCTGCAAAATTAATGTCATTTAAATCGAAAATGGTTACAAATGCATTTTATCAAAGTAGTGTATTTTGAGTGATATGGCCTTAAATCTCTAGAAATCTTAGATTTCCAAAAATCAGGTTTTCAGGATTTGACCAAATAGCATTTTTTTTTTGCCTTAGCTGGAATTGTAAGGTGTCCTTTTTTCCTCGGAAACATCCAGGCTTTCTACATGAAAACAAGAGGAAATAATGAAATTGAGTTGCAATTCACTTTTTTAGGGGGATTGAATTTTTGTTTTAATCAAGATATTCCATTAGCTCTATCTGTGATCCAGATGAAATTGCTCAACATGGACCAGGATTAGATCCTTACTCCTTCTGTCTTCTGTCTCTGACCATGGGAAGGACCTGCTCAAGCAGTCAATTTAAACAGGGGAAAGAATTTCATAAATCTTCTCCATCACAATCAAATCAACATTATTTTTGCAGATGAGGGAGCTTCTGAAAGAGATATGTGAGTGACTTAAATAGGACTGGAAATTAAGGTACACAACAGGAATTGAGTTATTTTGTTGCTGGAAATAATCCATTACTAATTATTTTATTAACTTTTTTGAATGACTGTTGGGGTACATTGAATCCTTACCATGGAATGGCTTGGGAAGAACAACTTTTAGAAACCAAAAAAGGTAAAGTGAATAATTAAAGGGGAAAAAAGAAAGTATATTTCTTCATTTTCCTTAGCTTGTTTTCAAACAAATTGGCAGGAGATGGGACTTAAAATGCTGTATTTGTAGTCCAGAACTAGTCTCAAATAGCTTCAGCAAATAGTTCCTCAAGAGTGAGTCCTTTGTGGAGAGGTAGTTCCAGCCAGTCCAAGTTTACGCTGTCTTGATTTATTTTCTTCAGGCTGAGAGTGAAGCTTTGTATTTTCCATAGAAAAGCTCAAGAGTCCAAGTGTTTGCAGAAGCCAAGAGTGTATTGAAAACTTAATTGGCTGACATACAAGCAAAGATGTGACCTAATATTCACTTACTGCTTTTTAACCAGTAGTTGAGATAGGCTGGGGATGTTGTCCTTAATCCTTTTTCTTTGTTGCTACTATAATTTATATTCTCTGTTTTCAGCCCATCATAAGGGTAAATTCACATTCATTTCCAAGGGACAAGAACGATATATATTAAATGTTTGGGAAAACTGAGTTTTGTCAGATTGGATTCCTGTAAGAGGATCACTCTTTAATAAGAAAAAAAGGGCACATGAATGTGTGTGTGTGTGTGTGTGTGTGTGTGTCCACATTTCTCCAAAACAAGCTTCAATTGAGAAATTTTGTAATCTTACATTTAAGAAATTCCCAGCACCTTAGCCAGGCATATTGCTGTCAGTGGGAAGTTGGCCATTAAATTTAAAAAAAAAGGAAAATGAGCTTTAGATTCCAAGAGCTATCCAGAAATCTTGGTAAGGAACTACTAAAAACTCTGGTTTAACTCATAATAATTTGTATCTGAGAGGATATGGTGAATAAAAAGCAGTTTCCAAATTTGTAGACCTTAATTTATGAGCTCTTGTCTAGATTATGTGTTACAGTAAATAATTCTTAAAGTAATTACTTAGCATTTCAACAAAATTTTAATCAAAGAACTGGAACTGTTTCACATTAGAAACTGATGTAGATGAAGATTTATTTCAGCAATTTTTCTTCAAGTTCATTGCTTCAGAAGAACAATGCAAAAATTAGGTATTTTCCTGGAGTTTTGGTTTATTATTCTCTTCCCAAGGTCTAATTCGTGGTTCTAAAAAGGCAGGCATAAAGTTGTATAGTGTGTAATATATTATTCTCTTTTAGGCCTATTACAGTACTGGGAAGCCATTTTGGTGTAAATCAAAATCCTTTTTTAAGGGGTTGGGCTTGTTTTATCTTCCCCGTGCCTTGGGATTGATCTTTGTATGATAAACCTTTCCATTGCCCCAGGCCATGTACATCCCAAGCAGGGGAAAGCTCCTTCTGCTGCGGATGCCGGTTGTGTGCCTCCTAGAATCACTGGTTATAAAAGAGAAAAGCAGATCTCACACTTTGTATTGCAGGACCTTCAGAGAGGGAGGGGGTTTTGAGGAAGAAATCCTCAAAAACTCATACTTCAGTCATCTTTTGTCATGTTTCCCTGGGGGTTTTTAAGAGTCTGTCTTCTCTGAGAGCCACTCTGTGTGTGTTTGAACTTTGTGTTTTTTGGGGGGGTGTTGGGAAAAGGACCAGGAGACGAGCTACACCATCATCAAGTCCAAAGAGACGACGATTACGGCGGATGGCTTGAAGCCAGGCTCGGCGTACGTCTTCCAGATCCGAGCCCGCACGGCTGCCGGCTACGGGGGCTTCAGCCGCAGGTTCGAGTTCGAAACCAGCCCAGTGTGTAAGTGCTTTTAATTACTGTCAGCCCATGTCTCTGCAACGCTTCCCTGGAACAGGCCAGGGGATCGATACCTCTGCACAGAGCGCTTCCTTTGATTGCCTTCATCCCTTGGCTTTGGAAGCGTCGGGCACATCGTGACTCTGCTCTTGGCACAGCTGTCCTTTGCTTCCTCATGGTGGGGCAGGAAACCTTCAGGCTTCAGAAATTCGTGGCATTCCATGCTTAGAAAAATCCTGTATTTACAGGACCCTAGTGTAAGAGAGTCATTCCTCCTAGGAGGCACAGAGGGGATGGGATCTGCTCCTTAAAGGCTGGCTGCAGAGGATGCTGAGTTCTCTTAAATATCTCTCTCTTAAATATCTCTCCCATCTGGGAGGAAAAACCCTGAAATTGTGCCTCTCTGCAAGGGGAAGGGTTGAACCAGCATTAGTGTCTTCTGTGTTTTTTGGGGAAAGTTCCTGTCAAGTTAAACGATTGTTTCTGTTGGCTGCCAAGGCCACAGCCTCAAGAAAAGGAGGTTGACTTGTAATCAGAAATGGTAAAAAATGTGCACTGCAGGTGCAGGAGTACTTCTTGGCCTGTTACATTTGTGGGGTTTTTTTTCTTGTTTTTTTTTCTATTTTTTCTTTTTTATTTTTTGTAATGAAACTAATCCAGGGCTGTATTCTGGAACAGATTCTATGGCAGGGTGAGCTCCTGAGGCACACAGAGGCTCAGCTGCTCTTTCTTCTGTGTTTAGGCACAGCTGTGGGGAAATTCTTTTTGTCCCAAATACAGAATTCTGCCAAGGTGTCAAGTACAATTTTGTCCACCAGAAAATACCTCTTCTCTCTATTAGTTTGTACAGCTGTCATTTATTAATTTTTATACTGTGTGCATGGAAGAGAAATTTTGTGGTGGAAATACTGTGATCATTCATGTGGGAAAGGGACTGTTTGCTGTGTTTTCCTTGGAAATTTAAATTAATAAATACTTTGATTACTGTTACTCCAGTTTATTTAAAATTCATCATCTTTGAGGAGAAGATGCCGAGTTGTCTTTTCAGTGCATGCTGCCTTTGAAGTCATAATAGATTTTCAAGGAGTCATTATACATGTGAAAATGTAGCTGTGGAGCCAGTGATTAAGCTAATACAGTGAAAATTGCATCACAATGCAAACATTAATGCAGTAAGGACACTCTATTTAATGTATTTCTTATTGTATTAACCATTAATTGTGCTCTATTAGTAGCAACCAAATCATGTTATGCCAAAAAATTATTATATTATTATACTATATTCTGTATAGTTTTTCTCAGTTGGGAAGTTTCTAGCTTGGAGTTGTTTGAGTAGTAGTGTTCTGGCCTACTAATGAGTACCACATGAAATATATGCACATTTGATCTATTACCTATGATTCTGGTCCAAAAATAATGGCATTTTCATCAAGCCCATCATCATGTAAGTATCTGTGTGAATCAGGACTTTTGGAGAACATCATGTGGAAATACTTTAAAACAAAAGGAAATTCTGTGGGTCATTTAGTCATATCCACATCCCAGTCTTTTTCACATTTTAAAGGCAGAGGAATAGCTACTTCTCTGATATTGAGGAGCTGCTGGTATAGTCAGGAATACCTACTGCATAGTCCCCAGTTTGGGAATGGGAATTGTTTGTCTGTTGGACTCAAGCTCTGGCTGAGGCCAGACTTAACCAGATACTTTAACACTTAATAGGATTGAAATACAATGCAAGCCTCAGTATCTTGCAAAATGCAGCTCTGTTTGACATTTAAAACCTTATAAAAAGCATTTTTTTCTCCAAAGCCCTGTATAAAGTCAATATTAGTGTCAGGAGTGTGACCAGACTCCCACTGCTTTCCTGCACATCCTGGAGATTTTGAAAGCAAGCACAGATCGAAATCTCACTGCTAAATCAGAGTACAGATCTGAACTTCTTGTTAGAGCCAAAGCAAATGATTTTTATTCAAGCACAGATGAAAACCTTTCAGTGGCTGTTCTGAGAAACAAAAACAATTTCCAAGTCGTTTGGACTGAACAACATGTTTTGTTTCCAGTTCACAACGTTTCTATAGTTATCTTTAATACATTTGGAGGAATTATACAACAACAGCCTGAGAAATGCAATGGAAGAAAGCTATAAGCTGTTTTGGACTTCCATCTTTTCCCAGATTTTGGAAATTTTTGCATACTTCTCCCTGCTTGTGCAATTCTTGAAAGCACCGTGAAGCAGCCAGGGCTTCGATTTTCAGTGAAATTTTTTTATCTAAGTGGAAGGTGCTGCTGGGTGTACCCACTTGTTGCTTCATCCTTTCCAAATGCCACCATGCTCGTCTAGCCCCAAAAGGTAACCTTGCCAAGAGCTGGGTTCTGGCTGGATTGGTGAGCTAATCTAGCTGGTCTGCTGGGCAGGAATAGGACCACAGGACCAAGCTGAGAAGGGGTAATGCAGGGACGTGTGTGTCTGTCCCTGATTTTGAATGGCAGCAAACCCCAGCTTGGTTTATGGATTCAGGCTTTTCATCTGCCATAGATCACAGTGGAATTTATCTCATTTTCCCATCCCTTGAGCTGTGCAAAAAAAACCACCAATCACTGCTTAATGTTCTCCTTTAAATGTTTTTCTTTTTAATTATTTTGTCAAGAAAGCAGTAAAACACCATCTTAAGGAGCCCCCATAACTTCGTGAGGCTAATAAAATCTCTGGATGATGGCAGGGGTTTGGAGCAGTTAACATGAAATATTTAATGTATCAGGACCAGTCCCTCTGAAATCACTTACACTGCCGTAGCAGCTCCACCCCGCTCGCGGTTAAGCACCAGAGAGCTCCCATACGAAGAGCTGCTTGAAGCCCAGTGCAGATCAATGTTTAATGCCATACCTTTCTGTCTTTCCTTTCCTTTAACAATTAATATGGGACTATATTCAGTTATTTTATAGCCTTCATGACGTTAATCCTGTGCTAAGGACCCTTTTTTTAGTTCAATCATTTAGTTAAAGGATTCTTCAGTACGCAATCAATTCCTGCTGCTCTCTGGGGTGGATGGAGCTTCATCCTGGGCTGGCACAAGGTTAAGAGCTATAATGAGGCTTTCCCCCACAGAGCAGCGGTTCCTGTGCCAGGGAGCTGGTTTTGCAGGGAGGATGTGAGGTTTGCACCCTGGGGTGGTTATATACGTGCAGCTAAATAAGCTGGCAGCAAAGAGGGCAAGGTGAGGAGACTTTGGTTCCTGCATGGGGAGCCCCACATTCAACCCCTGGGGGGAAATGGGCTCCTTCCCCTGCCAAGTAGGGCAGATAAACAAGATACAAGTGGTATTGGCATTTCCATTTTACAGCCTACAGGAGCTTGTTCACCTGCTCTTATTTGACCCATGTCAAAACTCAGTTCTCAGTCAGCTCTCCTGACCTTTCTGGTGGCATCTTTATCACCAGCTTAGCCTCCTGCCTTTTGGTAGGAGGGCTCCTTACAAGGCACAGACTGGAAAAGTTTTGCTTCCCCAAGTTTTGGCCAATAAAAAGACCAACCAGTGTACGTGTCTTAGCAAATTCCTGTTTTACAGAGGGCACTTCATGGCCACGTGATAGAGATGCCACAAGGAGTTAGTTTATAATTATTTGTAGCTTCTTGAAGTGCAGGTAATTCTTTTTATCTTGTAGATTCTTCCTGTGTGTGTTAGCAATAACATTCCATAAATGTTCTCTCTGACTGCTGGGTTTTCATCCAAATGAGGGCCTGTTGGGTTTTCATCTTTGATTACTAATGCAGCTAACTCGGGAGAGAAACTTGAGTTTACAAACTCAAAGGCTGAATCCTGCAATGCTTTCATTTCTGAATTCAGCAATGAGATGGAATCTTGTTGGTTTTTTGGCTTAGTGTTGCATGTGGTTTTGTTTCCTTCCCACCCATATCCTTTCCAAACTAGAAACAGACAGCAAAAGGGGGAAAATACAAACCATAAAAGCATAAATGAACTGGTAAGACTTGAAACCTTGCTGGCAGCCTCACTAGAAGACTCATATGAGTGCTGACTGTCATTTTAACCCTAATCTCCATTTTCTGTTTCTCATCTCAGCAGTAGCTGCATCCAGCGACCAGAGCCAGATTCCTATAATTGTTGTGTCTGTAACAGTGGGAGTCATTCTGCTGGCTGTTGTTATCGGTTTCCTTCTCAGCGGAAGGTAAGAGAAGAAGCTGTGTATTTACACTTCTTCAACTTTTGTAATAACTTTTATCTGACCAGCTGATTAGTGTGATTTAGGCAAAAGCAGCATGTGAACAAAGCTGTCAAGCAGTAGCACTGTAAAACAGCACGAGGGTGGGCTGATTGATCTGTTTGGACAAGCAGGAATGACAAAGGCACTCTCACAGATGTAGTTCACTTCCCAATGATTTTCATCTGTGTATAGGCTGGCCCTGATTATTTGACTTGATTCTCACAGGAACTGTTTTCACATTCCTTAAAAAATAAGCAGAACATTTTATTACAGGTAAAATATCTTCACCCCCATATGTTTGTACTCAGAGCTTGCAATGGACTTTGCTCACATAGAAAACTTCAGGAAAACACTTGCGAAGAAAATGAGAATAAAGCCACTGAAATGGCCAAATGCCCCACATTTTGGGTCAGATCTGGATTTCATTTCTCACATGTACGATACTAATGTGTCCTCCAAGCATTGGTAAATCATACAGAGAGCTTCCCCCATAGAGGGAGGCATTCTGCTTCAAACCATCCCATTGACTTCTCATGTGCTTAAACATAGGCAAGTGATGACAGCCTGGAATATACCATCTTTGACAACTCTAATGGAAGTTGATGGAATTTTTTGATGAACAAGAGATTGTGGTACTGGGGCAAAATCTGGCTTGTATCAGGATAAGTTTGTACTGCAACATTAGACTTGTTTGGCAGCCAGCATGGAAGGCACTTTTTTCATATTCTACATGTATATTAGTACCTTTTTTTAGTGGCAGTAGTCAAACAATGCAACATCCTTCATGTATATGTAAAGTACTCTAGAAAGCCTTGTGAAGTACATCTGCTGATAAGGCTGATTTTGTTTCCAGTGCAAAATAAACATTTATGCTTCTAAGGTATCCATCAGCCCACAGTTGCTTTTATGATACAGGTCTGTCCTAAGCTTAGGTCTAGCAGTGCCTGTAATTTACAGGATATTGTAAACATTAAGAGGAACTGCACTGAATTTGTTGGTTGAGGGTCTTATTTCCCAGAGGAGGTAAGGCATCAGTCTGCAAACGCAGAGCAGTGAAATCCTGCCAGGCTGAGCAACTCTGTCCCCAGGCATAAGGCATCCGTGGAAGGACACGGACGCCGTTGTTTCCTGTCTTGAAAGGTAAGTGTGCTGCCAGACTCATCTCCAGTCAAGGTCAGAGACTGACAGTCTCTTCCAGCTCAGCTGTTCGAGCTCCTGTTGTCTGCTTTGAGTGACTTGTTGGGCTTAAAAATGGAAAAGTAAATGCTCCTGTCTGCATGAGAAGCATGCAGCGGCAGAGGGGCGCGTGAGTCAATGGCCACAGGCGATTCACACCAGGGCCTACAGGAAAGCTGTAGTCAAAAGATTTGGCTCTGAACACTCTAGACAGGATTCAAGTCTCTCCTTAAAGACTCGAGGTTATGATTGAAATTCCTCTTCAGTCAGAGCAGGTGGATGTGAACCTTGGCTTCGCCCAGCCTGGATGTGTGCTTGTACTGGTGCAAACAGGAGAATGCATGTGTGACTGTAGGGAAGCTGTGGGTGTAACCTGGCACCTCTGCAAGCAAGAGTTGGGGGAGTGAATGACAGGTGGAGAAATGTACATCCCTCTCTGCCCATAGGGAATCACAGCTGTGTGGCTGCCAGTAGCTCCTGCTCTTCCCACAGTTGCTGGCAAGGGCTCAGCACCCTTCTGAAGAGGATGTACCTTTGCAAGTCTCCTTTTCACTGCTGCTCTCTCTAGTCTCAGCAAGCAGTTGCAAACCCTGAGCCATTTGTCAGCAGTTCTCATTAGTTATATCTTTCTGTCCTCTTGCCTAATGTGCTTTCCAGGATGTGCTTCCTCTTAGCTCTTTATCTCTTGGCATGCTTATGAAAGCCCTTGTGTCCTTTGGCTAGAGTTTTATTGCTGCCTCTGCTGCTACCTTAATCCTCCTACCTTGTACTCACGCTTCCCTCTGTGGACCCCAGGGCAGCCGCAGGTTTCTGGACATTCTCCATGGTGCCACTCTGGATATCTGGAAAGGGTAGGCACAAGGGGAGCTGAGCTCTTCATCCATTTTTATCTTTTCAATCCTTCCCCTGCCTGAAAAAAACACAGCCCTTCATTTGGAGCTGGTGGAGAAACCTCCTACACCAAGGTCTGGTCCATTATTAGAAAATTGGCTTCAAAACCACAGGACTTGTCTGCCAATTTGACTTCCCATGAATTTTAAAGCTCTAGTACACTGAGTGACTTGTGAGAACAGCAAAATAAACCCCAAAAACCCAGAAAGATGACAGGCAATTTGAAATTAAACAAAACAAAGAAATTGCTCTGGTTTGGAAGAAAGCAGAGATGCCAGGGAGATGTGTTACTCATGCTGCTTTGCCTTGGATATGGATTCAAGACAATTTGTGGAGTAACTCTCCTGCTGTGACAGCAGGGACAATAAACATGTTCCAAGTCATGGGATAATCCCTTTCTGAAGCAGTTAACCTGTTTGTGGGAGATGTTTTCCTATTAAACCTCTGGAGTGGTTGTGTTGTTCCAGTGCCTGGTTCCAGGGGGGTTGCATTTTCTTTCCTAATTCTTTCCTGTATTTGCTATTAGGAAAACAGCTATTTTGAACTCCAGCTGGAATCACTGCTGCTTGCCACACCAAACAAGCTGTGCAAAGCCCAGGCTCTGTCTTTTCTGTTGATGTAAGAGAGCAGGAGAAGGAGAAAAAACATCTTGCTCTGCCACACTGAGGATGTAGCCTGGCCAGCTCTTGCCAATAGGCTACTTTGTCCTGGCTTCAGGATGCTCCCATGTCCCTGAGAGGCCCTGGATGCCTCAGGATATTCCTCCCTAGGATGCTGTATGGCACCTCTTTGCACCTATCCTCCCAAGTCCCAGGCTGCAGCAAGCAGAGGCTTGAGAGCAATTCTGCAGTGTGAAGTGAATGTCGTCCTGCTCCTGGCAGTTTTGTGAGGAGTTTCCAGTCACAGGGCTCAGGAGTTTGCTGGAGCCTGCAGGCTTTTTATTTTTTGCTAGGTTCCCAAAGGCAGAACCACACCTCTGTCCTCTTTTTTTTTTTTTTCCTGCTTTCAGGTCTCTGCAGTTTTCTTGCTTCTTTTGAATGAATATAAGATAAGTAACAGCTTGGCATTTCCCGTTGGCAGCTGGCCCTAAACCAAAGGTCAGTTGAACAGTAGTCGTGGTGGCATTTCCACATGTCAGCGTCCATCTGTGGAAATGCACTTTGCGTCTGAAGCTGGAGATTCCTGGGAATTTGAAACTAAATGTGCTTTGCCCTAAACAATTGAGCTGCATTTCAGAGCTGATTAGCTTGCAGATGCTCCAGAAAACTTCCTGTAAATAACATGTCCTTTGACCAAGGTCATAAAAGCCAAGCCAAATAGCTGATCACTTTTTTAAGTTATCCTGCTCTTTGCATCAAGGACATATTAATAATATAACAATTGGGATTACAAATCAAAGAGATTCACTAAATCAGACTGTAGTTGTCTCAGCATAAAAAAGAGAAGTGGATTGAAAATCTATTATTAAACCAGCTACAAGTATTTAGTTAAAGAACACAGAGTTGTTATTATCTCTGTTTTGTTGGGATTATGTGTTCTCAAAAGTGCCATGCATTTTACAGATAGAGCAAATGTATACATTTTGCTTTCCTAGCAATGTGTAAATTAGATGTCTGTTACCACTACTGTTCCTGACTGAAGTATGTATTAATCTAAAATCATTACTGACTTTTGTTTTAAAGTCTGTGTCGGACAATGCGGTGACAAAGATCTTGGCACTCCATCTCACAAGGAGCAGTGAAGTGCCTCAGTTTTTGTTGTGTGGCATCAGTCTCTTTCTCCCTACAAACTGAGTTACAGAGCCAGGTTTTCAGCAGTCTGGGGAGGAGACCAGCTGCTCCAGAGCAGTGCCTCTCTTTTGTTCTTCAAACCCAGCCCTCTTTGCAAAACAGACAAGGTCTTAGGGTCAGTGTTAAGAGACTGCTGGTCCCTCCAGTCCCCCAAGCTTTCAAACTTCATAGCACTGAACAAAAGCATGAGCTTTTACAGAGTAAGGTGGGGATGATATTAGGTCAATGCTGTGCATGTTTGCAAAAGCTGTTCAAAACAGCCAAGTCAACTGTGCATCTGCATTTATAGCCAGCTACCCATTATGGATGACCTTTCCATCTCAAGTGATCTTCCAAAGAACCAGAGGGAGCTTTTCATAGAACTTAGGGGGAAAAAAATATGAAGCAACAAAACACTGCTCCTCACCCTGTGTCATGCATATATAGAAAGTCTCCTTCTGGCAAGGAGCTAGCCTCTGAAAGACAAAGCAAAGACAAATCTTGCCACTTGGGTATTGGCAATTAGAGTCTCTTACACCAGCGTACCCATCCTTGACCTCAGCTGATTTAGACTTTTAAATATCTGTGCCTGTGGTGGCAGAGGGCTACTTTCTGGACACAAATATGTGCATCTTGTTACAAAGTGACTTTCAGGGAATAGAGAGGGTGAAAGATTGTGGTGTATATCCCAGGTCCTGAGAGAGTGTTTGCAACCTTCTCTGATGTGGAAGGTGAAAATGGATGAATTTTTCCACAGCCTCCCCCCATCCTATTTTCCAAGTTGTGTCAGGGCTTAAAATAGTTTGCTTTTTCAATATTTCCGTAGGAAATGAGAGAGAGTCTATAGATAATGGTTTTCATAGAGAATTTTTCCAGCATGAGTCACAATTTTTGTTAGTTGGGACATTTTAAAGGATTTTTATCTCTACATTTTTGCCTGCTCTTCCTTCTTCCTGCAGGACATTGTCTCCTGTGATTTATAGCCACTTTATTATGCTGCCTACTGCCAAATATTCCCCACGATTCACCTGACAAGAGGAAGGATTTTGTTGAGGAAGCTACTGCTCTGCCAAGTCAAAATTCCCATCCACCCAAGAGCAGGCAAGGTCTGGTCCTGCTTCTGTTGGGGTCAAGGTTTTTACTACTTCCATCCTATTTACAGCCTCTTCGCTGGTACATTTTCCCAGAGAGGAGCAGCACTGGTGTACAGTGCAGCTCTCTGAAGGGAGAGTGCTCCAGTGCACCCTTCTGCACAGGGTCACACCTTCCTAGGGCCCGTGTGGGAATCTGCTGCCTGTGGCACCCGTCTCTAACATGCTGCCAAGATCAGCTTGTCAAATTTGGCGGCTCCAACGCCTCGTTCCTCTTCTACTCTAAACACTTCTTGGCTTAGTGCAGACTCGCCAGGCTCCGCGAGGCAGTCTGTGCTCTGCAGTTTTGAGACAGGTTTAAGGACCCAGGCTGATCTGCCTTTGGATGGCTTCAGCCCAGACAGAAGGTGAGAGTTGACCAAATCTGTAACTAAGCTCCAAGTTTTTTCTTGGCAGCAGCCGAGGGAATGGACGAACTGTGGTGAACAGATACACAACTGGCATAAGCTCTGTCTGAGCAGGGAGAATGGGGGGTAGTGCAGCAGTAAGTGATGAAACCTCCTTGCCTTCTTGCAGGTGATTTGTTTGATGGCATTGTACAAGTCCTGTTTCCACTTGGAGAAGGGATCTGGGCTGCCCTTCAAGCTGAAATTTGTAGCAGCTTGAGGCTCTGCTTAGCACCCCTTGTGTATGTAGTCTTTGAAAGTGAGATTTTACAGTGTCTTGTCTTGACTGTGGAGGGGGTAGAGAATGAAGAAGGAAGTCAGACTCTTGTCCTTCTGCACTTCTGAATATGGGGATGTTTCACCTTGCTTTGAAATCAGAAGTGTGACCTCTCCTGGGGCTTCACCATGTAGCTGCACTTGGCCTCTTACCTAGAAAAAAAAGGTTATCTCTGGTTTCTTATGTCTTAGACATAGAAGAGTATAATGCCAAAGGTCTTTCCAAGTGCAGTTCCTTCCCCTGAAGACATTGCTTTCCTTCCCCATAGTAACTGCATAGCTGTCATCTGCTTGGCGTTCTGCATTCTCAGTTTTTCTCAAGCAGTCAGAGACACACTTTAATGTATGAACTAGGAGAGCTCAGCAGGAAGAGCAGGTGACTCCTTAAACATTTGTATATTTTGGGACTGTGAGCTAGCAGCTCACAGTGTGTAATGGTACTTCTCTGATGTTTAGAGCAAGCAAGTTGACTCAGGAATTGCTAGGTGTAGAGCTGGCCTCCTGACCTGGAGATGCAGGAAGCAATCATTACCATCACTCAAGGCTGTATGAAGGATTAGAAAAATCTTCACAGGCACCCTCAAGTATTTCAGTCTCTAATTGCAAGCCTCTGAAGAACATCCCATTAGAACAGCTTATTAAAAGCAACAAATGAGACTTCCATTTATCATGATTCCAAGACTTCAGCTTATAACTCTTAAAAGCCACATCTATATATGGCAGAGCCTCTCTGAATTCTATCTAGCCATTAAAAATGCAGTTTAATTCCAAATGCTCTCTGGGTCATCTGCAGACTTGTGGTAAATTAATTACATTAATTGCAGGCACAGTTGCTGGGGCCTGTGATATATATACATTTCATTAACCAAGCCCAGGGTTTGAAACAATGCCAAGGGTGTTGATAAGTGCCCCTTGCACAGGTTTATTAAAGTTTGTGCTCTGGACGGTTGGGTTTGCAAACCACATAAGCTTTGTGGGGGTCACCTTATCTGGAACAGGAGGAGTGTTGTCTCTGTGTGCCTGAGATAGCTGCAAGCAGCAGAGCTGGGCTGGCCAGGGAGCAGGGCAGTGCCAGCAGGCCACAGAGCTCCTTTTTTTTCCCATCTGCAGCCCTTTCCTTGAAGCCAGGGCTAGAAGCAGGTGTCACACCTTGTTTCAAGCAAGCTTGGCTTTTGGAGATGGTGTTGCCTCGGGGCCTGTTCATTCCCAGCCAAGGGGATTTAACACTGCAGGTGTTTTCTCAATAATTTTGCTGTTTTGTGGACATGTCATCTGTTATCCTGCAGCAGATCAGAGGGGCTCCTGACCAGTAATAGCCCCCACTAGCTCTCCTCGTAGTTTGCTGGTTGATTCAGTGAGGTTGGAGACTTTGCAAATAAAAATGATGTGTGCAGTGCTTGGTTCAACTCTGCTCTCCAGTATAGGTCAGCTTGCTGGCTAAAGATGTAAAACCCTAGAGAAGTCCGGCTGTATTTCATTAAAAAGCCTTTCAATCTTATCCATAGCATTTGATCTTGTCTGGAAGGCTTTCCTTTCAGCTCCTCAGTTTCTAGACTAAGAAAGCCCTGCAGGAAAGGAGGAGGTGGGAACTGGGCCCCTCCTAGAAGCCATCAGGCACCCAAATCCAATAGCCACAAGATGCATGATGGCTTTGCTTGATTTTAACATCAGTTTTATTTGCCCCAGGATTTTTATGTTTTGAAGTTTATCTGCCAAATCAAGCCATCCTTTTAACACAAGTAGTAATAAATCTTCCTTTGTCCTGACTGTTCAGACCAATTAGTAAGTTCACTTACCTATCCAAGTGCTCTGTGGACCGGAAAGTGAATTTTATTGTCTGCTGATCCTGCTTAGTTTGTGTCTAAGCACTTTAGATTTCCCCTAATGCTAAACCTCAGAGTATTTTGACCACAAGTGCACAGCTGATGGGTTTGTAGGAGCAAGGCTAAAATGAAGTACATTTCTCCTGCACCTGAACATTTGTTTTTTACTCTGTACAAAGAGAGTGAGATCTAGATTCAGTGCAGGGAACTGATTTCATCTCAGAGCAGTCCTGTTGCTGATGAGGTCTTAAAGAGTTTTCTTTGTTCAGGGAAACATTGAGCTCTTTTCATTTTAAGGAAGTGGTTGCTTTTCAGGTTAATTGAACAGTTGTTTGGAAAACTTGGACTTTGCATGCTGAGTGGTGTAGAGGTATGGGAAGGTCTGGTGGCAGCAACCATTAGAAAATGCCTGGGGGAAAAGGGCCTCCTAGCTGAAACATAAGCCAAAGGGTCACAGCCAAACTGATCTTCTGAGGATGTACCAGTTCCCTGCACTCAGATCCTGCAAGGTTAGAGGAAGAAAATGGCAAAATTGACTCAAGATATGTAGTGCCTGGGTTCCCTTTGTGTACCTTTGGGTTTTGCATCTCTGGTGTTAATTTGGTGTTAACTTGGATCTATGGAGTGGGTTAGTGAAGGCTGATCTCCTTCCATATTAGTGTGACTGAACAAGCTGGGGCATTATGAAAATAGAAAATATTGTTAATTATAGTTAGAGATATTGGCATTGCTGTTTAGAAAATCTCAGCAAGTTGTTTTGCTGATGCAAAAAGAGCTTAGAAGACATTCTTCACCAATTTTAATTTCAGTAAGCACATAATCCAGTGTATAATTCTGTAAATCATTGCATGCCTGAAGTTATTTTGCATCATAATTTAAGGCAATGCAGTTGTAGAATGTTAATTTTGTCTAAATAAACTATTTTAATGTATTTAGGCATTGTAAGTCATACTGTATAAAATCTGACGTGCATAGGATTTTTTCAAGAATTACTTCTTGTGATGCCTGAAGAGAAATGAAGTGAAGAGATCTTCAGCTGACTTTAATTGGAGTATACCTGCACCATTGGGCTCCTGCTTGTACTGAAGTCCTTCCTGTTGTTTCTTCAGCACTATGTTCTTTTCCAGGATGAACTATCTTAATAGATTTGGTAACAGAAAAATTGTCTGTGCAAGTTCTCTGACAAGGATAAAGGACAATTACTGAAGTGCAGCCAGCATTGGGTTGAGAACTGATGCCAGGCAAACCTGTAGTCTGATTAAAGTAAAGGCTGAGCAGCCTTCAAAGGCAAGCTGTGGCTGCATGGAGTGCCTTTCAGCTCACAATATTTTGAGTTTATTTAGGCTGAATGCTTTCACAAGGTCCTGCTTCTGCAGATACCTAACATGTGCAAAGCTTCACTGACACAAGGAGATGCAGAAAGGGCTCTGTGAGTACATGCACAAGGATCTGCAAAAGCAGGGCTCGTATTCATCCACTACTTTTCCCTTTTTAAAGGCAATTGTAATTGTACCACATGCATGCTTGTGGAAAAAAAGTCACTTTGCCTGCTTCAAGGCAGGTGCTTAAGTTTAAGCACATGGGTGGCCCCATTAATCCTGATAGTGGTACTCCAGTACAGGAAGCACATGGTTAATTGCTTTACAGCACCAGGATCTAGACACTCTCCCCAAGGCATGTTTCACCAACAATAGCATATGCCATTAAATTTTTGCAGCCCAGGGTGTTCAGGTCCAAGTAAGAAATGCAATAAGAAGGAAGAAGATACGTATAGAAATGTTGTGAATGTATTTGCACCTTGCCAGGGCGGTGGGATTATTCCTTATCCTGGGCCTTTTTGTTTGCTTTTCAGTTGCTGCGATCATGGCTGTGGGTGGGCTTCTTCTCTGCGTGCTGTTGCCTATCCGAGCCTAACATGGTCAGTGTTCCCACCCGTGCTGGCTCCTCCTTCGTGTCCTCCGTCCGTGTTTTCTGTGCACAGTCTGCCTCTCCCTCCCTCTCTTGTATTGGCCTGGAAATCACTTTCTCATCCGATCTCTGTACCCAGCTTGTCTATCTCAACAACTGGAAATAGCGTGACCTGAAGCAGAGTGTATCTTCAGCAAGAGCAGGGATCTCAGGGGCAAAAACCCACTATGTTATGCCATGATCAATCCAGACACTGCAGCAGGTGTCTGATAAAACACCATGGATGCTGGACACCCATCGAGTCCTGCTTCTTGTCATCCAAAGGGGCCAGGGGGAGGAAACGTGCCCCCAGAGGAGGCAGGGGGTAGGCGGGAGCAGGAAAGTATTTATTTGGTGGCATGTGACATGCATGTCAGTGGAATGAAGGGTATGTCATGGACATACATGGCAGTGTATGACATACACAGCAATGACTTGGTGCTGCTTGCCCCTGATATGCTCCAGCAGCAGTGGACATATCTCTGCGGGTGTCCTGAGGTGCGTGTCCATGCTGCATGCTGTCCTGTTCTGCCACCATCTGGGCTGCCTCACCACTTTCTGCTCTCTTGTGCTCTCCCCTCTTTTCTAACTGGTCAAAGGAGGGCTGATTTTCATTTCTGTTGGTTTGCCTGGATGCAAGTTGAGTTGCTTCCCAAAGAAGAATCAGCTGTAATATTTATGTGGGCAGTGATCTTCCTAAGCCTCCTAAGAGACGCATGTAATCACCATCCCCATCAGATAGCTGCTGGAGACCACAGAATTTCTGAGACATCCCACATGCATTGTTAAGCTGGAAAGTTTTCTCAGCATAGCTGGTGAGGTGTGGAACTCTTCTGCTGTGTTTTCTGGGGGATGCTGAAGCCTTGCATGGGGCTGGCTGGGTCATGGTGCAGTTCCTTGCTGTGGAGCATAGCAGTTGCTAAGGTGGACCATTTTTGGGTCCTCTGCTGCTGTACTTTTTATTTTGATAGAGGAGGAGTTTGGGTTTTGGTTTTGTTTTTTTTCTCCCTGGTGGAACATTTTTCTCTTCGTTTTTTGTGACTTTTCAGTGCTTAAGAGCAGATTTAGCAAGCAAGGATGCTCAGCTCAAAGTGTGTGCCTGTAAAAAGTTGTTCTGGTATGTGGACCACTGTTTTGGCAAAGAAAACCTTGCAGTACTTCCACTGTCTGTCATGCCTGTGGTATCAGTGCACGAGGCAGTCCCTCGCTGCAAGTCATGCTTCAAATGGCCCCCAACTGGAGGATGACAGCAATGGAAAATAGTTCTCAGAGAAGACCAGGATTGGACTGGATGGCTATGAAGGACACACAAGGAAAACTTGGCTGACCTGGAAAACACCCTCTGCAGGTTTCCTCCTAAGGTGCAGGGAGACTAATGTAGCAGCAGGCTGGGAGGGGGAAATGAGAGAAGCTACTTCAAGGCACGGATGCCATTGGCTGTGCTATGGGAAGGCACAACAAGCTCTTTAGAGAGATTTATGGAAATCACTTCAGAGGGAGTTTCCTGCAAGAGGGGAAAACGGTATCTTGTTTAAATTATTTTTAATTGTTCTGGCGGTGGTTTAGGAAAGCAGGGAGTCATTCAGCGCAAAGGCAGGGAAGGACCAAAGGCTAAAAATACCACTGCTGGATTTGTGAAACTTCCTTTGTAAGGCATCCAAGTTAATCAGAGGTCAAATACAGTGTCACACGAGTGTAGAGAGGGACAGCAGTGCTGGGAAAGCAGCTGAGAAGATTTTGAGTCTGCAGCCCTTTGGAAGGGAATCTGCCCCATTCCTCTCAGGCCAGCCATCTCCTGTATCTCCTGAACTGAGCTAAAGGTCTTTGCTCATCATCAGCAGACCTTTTACTACTCTTTTGATGTTGTGCAAGAGGAAAGTGAACAGAAAAACGGAAAGCAACTTCCAGGATAGAAGCTGTTCAGTTTACACCAGTCCCTTCAGTATTCCCTGGTTTTTCGATACTGAATTTATCCTAGGATTGCAAGCAGCAGAGGCAAATGCTGAACACAGACTAACACCACTAGTGGTAGTCTTTTGCCTCTGGCTCTCAGTATCAGCATTGTTTACCAAGGATAAAGCTATTCACTGAACAAGTTATTGTCTCCACACATGAGCTGAGGCGACAGGATCTTGGCCAGATGGAGAGATCCATGTTTGTTTGTTCCTCTGCATGGAACATGATCCTGCACTGCAACACGTATGCAGCTTTATTGCTTTAGCATCTTGGAACAAATAGTCTGAAATAAGCACTAACCCCTTGTAAACAATAACCTTGCAGTCCTTGCATACCTCCTGTAAAGTGACAGCTTGAGATGGGTTGGAAGCATTCCTCTAAGTTGATTTATTGTAAAAGACATGCTTCTGAGTGAAGGTCTCACCCCTGAAAAAAAAAAAAAGTGTTTTGTCTCTGTTTCAGAGAAGTGCCTATGCTTCGTTTATCTCATATTTGAGCATTAAATACTCTGTAAGTCTCTGCAAGACTGGGATGAGAATTGCATGCTGCTTCAGGGCACAACCTGTTCAATAGTACTGACTGCACCTGGCAAGGTGAATTCCCTTTCCTCACCAGCAATGTCTCAATGCTGTCCCCACCTACATTTCCAGAAATGCCTTGGCTGTGTGCTGAAATGCTTTGGCCTATGCCTGCAAAAAAAGTATGTCAAGATTTTTTCACATCACCACCTAGGGCTTGACATCCAAGGTCCAAGTTCACAGTCCCCTGGCTCTGTCTTGCCTGGGCTGTGACCAGAATGGTGACCCTAGCTAAGGAGATGAAAACTCTTTCCCTTGGGCATTCTGTGGTTTTCAGGAGAATGCCTCAAGTGGCCACACAACCCAGCAAGGGTATCCTGAAACATAGGGCAGAAACAAAAGAATCTCCATCAGTCCAGGGAGAGCAAGCATCTTTCTGCCTCACTTTGTGAAGGATTTTTCTCTGTGAATTGGCTTCTGTCATGCAAGGTAGTGGGCATTGGTTTCCCAGCTGGATTGTTCATCTTTCTACCTGTCCATTTTATATTTTATAAACCTATATAGGGATCATTTTATAACTTCACTTTTATAATCTGCTCCATAAATATTTTACGAGCTGCCTGCCAATCTGCAAGTAGTTTTTAAATAAGACATGATGCCTTAAGAATATTTAAAGTCTCACTTTTCTTTTTACCTCTGATACTTTTATTGAAAAACACGGAGCTGTGCAAGGAAGGCATCTGCTTTCCACATAGGGAAACTGGGACAAACCCACAACAGGAGTAAATGAATTGAGATTCAGGTGCGCTGCTGAATTACGTTAACTCTTTGGCTGAGTGTCTCCAGCTCAGTGGGAGATGAAGCGAGCGTCAGGATCTTTATGCTTTTGCTGTGCAGGATACAGCAAAGATATAGAAAATCTATGGTTTGTACAGTGATAATAAAGTAGAGAATGAGTCTTCCATCAGAGCTTTTGACTCACAGCTTAGCCAATAAATATTAAGAGCAAATGCATGTGCAGAAATGGATTATTTCACAAACAATTGAGAGCTTTATTTTCGCCCAAAATATATTGTAAAGCCACAATATTTAGATACTTTGATCTGCCAGAAAGATTCACAAAGTGACTCCAGACTGTTAACCCAAAATTACAGATTTTTATGGGATTAAGTTGGTGAAGAAAGGAGAAAAAACTGCTTGTGTATGTTATTTAAAGCATCTGAAGGTCAAGAACGGAAGAAGCGCAGTTTGGCCCCAGTCAGCGTGGACTCTGAGTAGTGTGAGAAAGTGTGCGAAGGGCACAAGGGATGGCAGGTTTGCAGCAAGCTTTATTAGTGACACCCAACTGTTGCTTGACAGTCACAGTCCACTAGCTGCCATTTCACTTTGATGTGTCTTGTCAAGGCTTGTTTTAACGATGCTTCAGGCGTCCCAGAGCCTGATTTCGTATGCTAATGTGATGTGCTGCTGTATGTGTTACCCAGCTCGAGAGAAGGGGCCAGCTGCAGCCAACTGGTTTGTGCTGGCCCTTGGGGTGTGTCCCTGGGCAGTAAAACATGGATCATTGTGCAGCAAGGTGTGCTTGGATCACTCTGTGCAGGGGATGGCGTCTCTCTGTCTCCTCCGTATTTATGGTCAAGGAATTGGGAGATGCAGGTCATAGAAAGGATGATCAATCCAGACACTGCAGCAGTGTTAGAATATTATAAAATGTTAGAAAAGCATTTTTACAGGCAAAGTGCTCCAAACCTGAGGAAGAGATAAGGGTGTTTGCTCCAAAAGGCAAAGCAGAAGAAGTATTGGATACCTGCTTTTGGTAGAAGGATGAATTGACATATCTGTGTATTTTTAAAAGGCAAACTGAGTCATATGCCTCCATCAAAAAAAATTAGTTCTGCAGAAAGTTGATGTAACTGTGGCAACTTACAGCAGAAAAAATTGGAGTTGCCAGAAGTGAGACTTGATACTGAGACTCATCTCTCTGTTTAGTTAAAGGGGAGGTCATATGATGAAGAAGAATGCATTCTCACGAAGGGTTTGTGAACACCAGAATGTGCTTTGAAATGACCCTTACTCCCAGGGTCTCCATGTACACCTAGTGCTTAGATTTTGAGTTATGCAGGACCCCATCTCAGGAAATGTCACTGCTGCTTTTAGAGCAAGGCAATGAGCACCACCATGCAGATTCTGGGCACCTCAGTGCTGTTCTTGTGGGGTTTGCATTCAAGTATTATGGTCTCAGCTTGGTTGCTGCTGCTGAAATCATGCCCTGCATGTATAGCCTGGCTGTTTATCAAGTGCAACCTCTTCATCTCCCTGCCTGTGTCCTCAATTGCTTGCCAGCTTTCCCTTGTCTTCTTGATCCGTTCCCCTGTGCTTGCACAAGCTTTGCAATCTCTTTTTCCTTCCTCTTCCTGTAGCACAGGTCTCCTTTGTCCCCAAGGTAAGCTTCCTCTTCCCCGGAACAGCCCCAGAAGCTCATGTTGCTTTTCCCTTCCTCAGCTGTCCAGCATCCAGCTCTGCTGAGTCCATCTCAGTGGCAGGGTCTCATCGTGTCCAGGCTTTTTGTCTGTAATTGTGATCATTTCACCAGTGCCAGGATCCTATAGCCAAAAGGCTGCTTGACCCCTTGCATCTGGGCAGACAGCAGTTCCCTGTAATAGGACTTCATGCTGAGGGCATGTTTCATGCAGATGCCTGTTACTGCCTCCTCCTAATTGCAGTTTTGTTCCTGCTAATCATATGCTCCTCCTTGCTGTGAGTGATGCTGGAGTGCTCACATGCCCCTAGCTCAAAAATCATGGAAGCGATGGAAGAGAGGTTTCTCAGCTTTAAGTGGCTTCTTAGTGGCCTGAGGCTTTCTTTGAGGTGTGCCAGCTAGTGATTCCACTGCATGCTGGCTGGCTTGCAGGTGTCTGTTCCAGGATTTTCATTCCACCAAGTGGTGTCCTTCAGTCTCATGCTTATGCAGCTTCTTGTAAGGATGATCCAGTTCCATATCCAGTTATGTTATCAGGAAAGACAGGCATATATATGTGTATCCTACATACATCATCCTGTATTTTTAAATGTGTGTATGTGTGTGTGTGTAGCAATTTTTCTTGCCACTGCAGTTGTTCTGGGGCTTCCATGTGGTTGTCTAAGTGAAGCAGATCTCAGAAGTACCACCAAAGCAGACAGTTAATGCAAAACTATCACCTAGAAAACCAATGAGAAGAATGAAGAGTCGGGGAAGAGCAACCAAAAACAAATAGGAGATTCCCTGGGAGAGATACAACTTCCATATAACTTAGTTGTCACTCCATGGTAGTATTCAGCATTATCCCTGCACTGTCTGGCACTAAGGTGGGAGCAGGATAGGTCAGGCAGCTTGCCTTCTTCCATCTTTTTTCTGCTGGGCAGAAGGGATTCCATGAATGGCAGCTCCCCTGTGGAAAGAGAGGAGATGTGCATGAAATGCTGTGCAGAGCCAACAATATGTAGGAGACACCTGAAGGCAGTGAGGCAACAGGTTTGGTTTTGCTTTGTTTTAAGCCATTCTTTTGCATGTATATAAGACGTTAATATTTACACAAGGCCATTTTCTAAAATACCATAATTTAAAGTTCTGTCCAAATGCACAGTGGATGAAGGGGAGCATGCAAGACATACGACACAGTGCCTGCAAAAGCTCTGCAGTCCAGGAGATTTTGTTTCTGCAATTCTAATGTTTCATCCCATTCCCCTTTCATTGTCCTTCCTGTTCCCGCTTTCTTTTCTTCTTAAAAATAGCTGCATTAAATGTCAGGTAGAGTGGAGTTTTTCAGAAGCATCTGTGGGATTTGGAAACACAAGTCCAATTGAAAATCCATGGGCCTTGAGCCCTGAATCCCGTTAGGGAAATTGCAACCAGTTTGATGAGCTAAAACTGGGACAGCAGCAATAGAGCCACCAGAGAGGTTGGGTTCGTCACTGCTCTGGGTTTTTGTGCATTGTATGACTCAAAGTAAAGAATGGAGTTCTGCCATACCAGAGACAAAAATACTCTTCTGTTGTGGTTTGTTTTTGTATTTTTCCCCAGGCGATGTGGCTATAGCAAGGCTAAGCAAGATCCAGAAGAAGAAAAGATGCATTTTCATAATGGCCACAGTGAGTAAAGAGTGAACATACATAAGTGTTTTTGGCTTTCTGTGGTAATGAGAAATTCAACTGAGAGGTGGTTTTCTGAAGGGGAAAAAAATCTGCTTTTGGTGGTAATTCACAATAGAATTGTTTGTGCAGAAGTTCCCCCCTGCCCCTGCTGCAAGCCCCACAGAGAACTGAGGATTTGAACAGTCCTTATATGTGCTGAGCTGTTCTCACCTGTATGTTTGCACCAGATCATTCCAGTGAGCCATTTTGGTTTGTTCCTCTGTCTTTGCTGTGTGAACCAACATGTTATTAATTGTTTCTGCTCAGCACATAGCAACTCAACATTTTTGTGGTCTGGATGCATCAGTCCAACACACCTGTTTAAAACCTTTGCTTCACCCCAGGCAGCTGTGAGGGCCAAGCCCACTGCTGCTCTTCAGCTTGGATGCCTCTGCAGAGGTGTGAGGAATAACACCTATTTCCTGCACCTAGGAAGCTTTCAGAAGTGTTGTGTTAATGCCCTTGTATAGAAAACCCCTCTGCAGTGATGATAGAAAGTAAATCTTGTGGTTTCTATCAGTCCCTCCTTCATCAAGAGCTGTGGGATCTGGGGATGGGTAACAGTGAGGTGCCTTTTGGGGTGGAAAAGGCAAACACATTGTGAGTGAAAGTCAAATTTCCATTAGTGCTATGTAATGAAGGCAGCAGGAAGCAAATCAATTAAGAGCCACAGTGTAATGTAGCTGTCTCATTAGACTGATGAGCAATTCTTCATGTGAGTAGCCTTAATGATTGTCAAAACAAACTTCTAATATGGATAATGAAAATACTTTTTCCCTTCTCAAGTCCTGGAGAAAAAGCCTGCTATTGATTATATTTATACTGATACAACCCACAGGCTTTGTGCTGCAAATATGCAGTTCTTTTAAATCTCAGTAACTCCATCTGAAATAGTGTGGGCGATTGATTATCTGATGTGTGACTGGTAGGGCATAATTTATTTCAGCTCTCCATCAACCCCCATCCATCCAGCTTGCTTTGCAAATTACTCCTGTAACATTTTGCTATTTGTACTTTTCCTCCTGGTGTACCCTCTCTAGCTCCAGAAAGGAATTCTTTTCTACCAGACGCTGGACCAACCCATTACACAGCACCAAAAGGGATTTTAACTGCACACCATTCCAGCTGAGCACTGTTGTGCTTTTCTAAATATGCCAAAGTTGCACATATGTCACATATAAACTAAATGTCATTTTTCAAGAATGATACTCATTTTCACCATAGAAATAAATTTCCAGCAGAGCAGAGTGCAAGGGACAGGAGTGTGTAATGCCCATTTTCCGTGATGTCACGTGCCATTGAATGTGCTTAATTTGTGTTTGCAGTTAAGCTGCCTGGAGTGAGGACCTATGTGGACCCCCACACCTACGAGGACCCTAATCAAGCTGTCCACGAGTTTGCTAAGGAAATTGAAGCTTCATGCATAACCATTGAAAGAGTTATCGGAGCTGGTATGGAGATGCATTCCATGACCCTTTGCAACATGAAGGGCTGGCTTTCTTAACATGAGAGATCTGGGAAGGGCCATGAAATATTTGAACTGTTAGGTACCCTCAAGTGAAGGTGAGCATGTTCCAGCTGAAGCTTGGGACAGACCTGTCACTGTCTGCAGTTTTGAAATTCAGGAGCTGAATTGAAAATTCAGAAAATTTCAGAAAATGGTCTCAAATGGTCAGCTGAGCTTTTTCAATGGATGCTAAGGGAAAGGAGTCACTTAAGTTTCACATTCTTTTTACCATGTTAAGCTTTTTAGCCCCCAACCTTGTCAGTCTTGAAGGAAAAATTAAAAATAAGAGGTCACCTGGGACATTAAAAAAGCACAAGCCAAAGTCCAAAGCTTTAAACGTCCTTGGTTAGAAGAAGAAATTCCCATTTTATTTCCAGTAAAGCTGTTTGTTTAGACTTGCATCTGACCTTAGGAGTATTTTCTATCCTCTGAAATTGTGGGTTTGGATGGAATTTAATGTTCACCAGAAAAAAGTCCATTTAGGTTACTTTTTGGGAAAGGTAGTAATACAATTGCAAAGAGTTTATAGTCTATAAAAATATATGTTACTGTGAAAAGCTGACAGCTTTCCATTTATGTAACTTACCAAAGGAAGTTTAAGAAGCAAGTGGTTTGAGTTTTATAGCTGTCCACACATGACAGTGGTATAGGATATGACAGACTCTTTCATGTAGTAGACAAAAACATTACATTAGATAAAAAACCAGTGGAATATAAAGCATATCTCTTTAAATATAGGAAATTTACATTTTTACTCCAAGTTTTCTTGTGCTTATGAATTACTTGGCTTGTGGTGCAGTGGCTGTTTGAGATAGTCATCACTGCGATGTTCAGCAGTCCGCATCCGTGAACGCAGGGCAGCCCTTTGTGCTTTCATCAGCCAAGGCTGTGCTGCATCCTGTAGACACAGGCACATCATGTGTTCCCTTGATGTGGTGTGATCCCATTCTTCCTCATTTTCTTGTGCAGGTGAATTTGGGGAAGTCTGCAGTGGGAGGCTGAAGCTGCAGGGAAAGCGTGAGTTTCCAGTGGCTATCAAAACCCTGAAGGTGGGTTACACAGAGAAACAGAGAAGAGATTTCTTGGGAGAAGCAAGCATCATGGGGCAGTTTGACCACCCCAACATCATCCACCTGGAAGGTGTTGTCACAAAAAGTAGGTACAACTTGCTGTGGACTGCTTACTGTGAGCTCTGGCTGTTGGGAGGGTTGGTTAAGGGGGAAAGACTTAGGTGATGCCTGTTCTGAATGCACTTCTCATCATTTCCCAAAAAAAAGTTTGCTTTCCAGAAGCAGGGCAGAAGAACGAGACTGTAGGTGGAGATGACAGGAAGGTGTAAAACCACAATTAAAGCAAGCTCCCTCTGGGATCTGCTAGAGATGCCCCTGATAATAGTTGCCCATGGTGCTGGCATATGAGAGGGATTGAGAGTTACTGAGGTCTGACTGGTCAGTTAGCAAAACAGCCTTCTGTAACTTTTCCAGCCCAGTTCTTCTCCAAATTACAGTATGCACTAAAGATAAGGGCAGGGAAAGGGATGGCACATCCAGGTGTGCCCAGCACAAGACTGTTGGTGCTGTGCTGAGCCCGTGGAAAATGTGTAGAGTGGTTGTTATTCATCCATTTTAGAGCCTTGGAGGATCTGCATTATTGGCACCAAGGATTATTTTGCTAACTAATTCTAAATTCTAAGATAAATAACTACTTCTTTATTTTAAGATGTGTTTTAAGTGTAGAAGCACCAGCCTCACAGGTGTGAATGGTTGTCTCCCCTCTTGCCTTCATGTTTGGCAATGTCAGAGCTTGCTTAGCTGCTGCTGCTCAGGTGGTGGCATTCAGGGCCATGTGCTGCTCTCAGTACAATTTGTCATTCCTCAGAGGAAGTGTCTCCGGTATCAGTTTTTTTCAGAGCTGCAATAGAGAAGGTACAGAGGCTCCAGCTTTTTGTCCTTGTAATCTCCACAAAATCAATGCTGTTTTGTAATCAACAGCCTTTTCTTGCATTTTACCTTGAAATTGCATTTCCTAAAACTTTTAAGAAAAAAATAACCAAAATGGATTTCTCCCAAAATTTTAATAAATACCAAAATCTCTCAGGGACACCCTGTGTAAGAGCTCCAATTTCTAGCCCTTCAGGAACATGGAATATTGGGCTGGGAGCGAGTGATGATTATACATCCATTAAAGCTGCTACTGGCATTGGCCTGAGTCCTTCTGGCTGCTGGGGCCTCAGGGGATGGTTGGAAATTCCACTTTTAGTGAGAATGTTCCTCTCTAGCAAGCTGGCTTTATATAAAGTAGCTGTCTGCTCTGAAAGCTGTGGAAACACAGGGAGCCCTGCTCCTAAATTGGTCTTGGAGCAACTAGAGTTTGGATTTAGTATGCACCCAGAGCTTCTTATTAGTTCAGTAAATATTTGTTTACTGTACTCAGTTTTTTTTTCCAGCAGACATCTGTAGCATCTTCATAGGTTTTTCCTTTTCTTTTACATGGACCAAAACAACTTTTATGAATCTCTAAGTATTTGACTTCTTTTACCCTTCATTATCTCGGTCATTGGCCTTTTGCAGAATCAGATCTTTAGGGTAAAAATGTCTTTGCTGCATCATGATTTACCTGGGAAGTAAATTAGGTTAAATCAAATTAGGCCATTTTTAATTCTGAATGAGAATGTCATTGTATTTAACTAATATAGTTCAAATGCACACCTTAGTTAATTTGGACTAATCATGTTCATTGTCCTCTTGCAGACAAACCCTTTGCTATTTCTGCTTTAGAAAGGTAGTGACAGTTTTCATTTGCATCCCATTTGGTTGCACTGATGCAATGTGCACACCACTGACATGAGTGCCATCCACATATATTTTATGACCATGTACTGACAGCAGGAGGAAGCCCTGGTGACACAGAGAATCAGCCCAGCACTTTGGAAAGTCTGATGTTTACTTTTAATTTACTTTGTTGAAAGTTATCTATTTGTGTCCTTATTTCCATGCTCTTGGAGATGGGGTTAATTTATTCCGTGATTGCTGCCAACCTGCAGCAGTCAGATAATGAAACATAAGTGCCAGAAATCTTACTGGTTTTTTTCTCTGATGGCATCCAAAGGCAGGAGTCTGGAGGAGGTCCCCCAGGGTAGTGGCATAACAAGGCACCATTCTCACTGCAACACTGCCTTGCAGTGTCAGAGATAAAGGACCCCATGCTACTGTTGGGTGTTTAGTTTTTAAAAACAAAACATTAACGTTTGAGATATCCCTGGAGTTTTCTTCCCTGCAAAGCCACTGGCATGTTTGCCATCCAGTAGCCATGGCCCCTGAGATCTCTCCTCCCTCCTACGTTCAGCCCGTGCTGTGTGTAGACAGATGGCCATCATCCTTAAAGGTGGGGCCCACCTTTCATTTGGGATTCAGCAATATTTTTCATGGTCCCAAGGTGCATTTCTCATATCAAAAGTAATATTTTGGGCAAGTTTCAAGCTTGGGCAACAGCTTTGAGAGTAACGTAAAAGAATTGAAGCAGCACAGGTCCTTCGTGCTGCAAAGGTAATGTTTGCACAACAATGAGAACTTTGATTGACAAGTTCACAATTACCTTTGTTATGTACATAATTAAGCAGTAAATTAGACAAAATAGTTAAGGAAATCAAAAACGGGAAAATTAAGATCTATCCAAAAGGTAGGACATGCACTGATTTTTAGTATTTACCTTCATGTGCATGTTATGACACACAGCAGTTCTCGTTGATCGTTTCTATAAAAGACATTTATAATGCACTTTACAAATAACTGACAGCTTCTCTTTTGTCTGTGCTTTGTGCTAGCTAATGGAAATTGATTTAAATAAAAAATAATTTACATGTTCTTATAAGATTTCATTGAATTTACAAGGGCTGGAGCACACCACATTAATTATTGCTATGCCATTGTGGCAAGCTAGCGAGAAATTAGATTTAAAAACTGAGCAAAAACTATATATAATTACCATTAAAATGACTCGGGCATGAAAATTAATCAAACAGATTTGGAAAAACATTATTATTCCTGTCAACAATAGGACACCAGGTCTTTTGTTAAGAACTTTTACTTTGATTTCCACTTGCACTCATTCCACACTTAATGAGCTTTTGTTCTGCAGTGCAAATATTCCTTCTCTTACTTCCAGATGTGTTTACAAGGGTAGTCACATGGAATGACTTGAATTACAAGGAATGCAATCCCATCCTTTCCTAGTCTCAGTTTTGGTGACTACCAAGCCCAAGCTTCACATCATCCTTGTTGCTCTTGTTGGGCTCCTGTTGTTACTTCAGGGTAACAGGTTGAGGCTTGAGGGGAGGGTCTGAAGACTTTGCTGTGTGCAGTTTGGCCTCTGCAAGATTTCAGCTTGTTGGTGGAGGCAATAAAAAGGCTGCCTGGGTTTAGCTTGCAATGTCCTTCTCTATCATCATCTAAAGAGTCTAGGGCTTGGCACCCCACCCATAATGTGGCAATTGTTTTTCATCCCTTCCTCCTCAATCTCCCTACTTCTCTGTATATTCTGGGAACAGCTCTTGTCATCCTGCTGGGACAGCAGTGTCTGGGTGTAGATTTACTGTTGCATGGCTGTATATCCAGATGCAGAGACACTATTAAAAGACTTTTTTATTGCTCATGTGTTTTAGATAAATTCCTAACAAACTCATGCACTTTTTTTATTCTAGGCAAACCAGTAATGATAGTGACTGAATACATGGAGAATGGCTCTCTGGATACATTTTTAAAGGTATTACTTAGATCCCTTTTCCAGGGGGACCTGGGGACTTAGTTTGGGTTCTTTGTAGATGGTTAAGGCAAATAAAAATGTTTTCTGGGTGTTGGTGCTGTCCAGAGGCAGGAGTAGCTCAGTTGTCTCTTTGATCTGCATTTACATAGCATCATGAAGGACCTGGGGCATGCAATGATAGAAACAGGAAAGAATAAATTGAAGGATATTACATTTCTTTTAGAAGGCAGTGGAAAGTATTGGCTTAGCCTGCAAAATGTGGTGTGGTTCAGGAGCAGACCCATACTCCAGCATAGCAAACCCCAGACTTGTCAGTTTTTCCATTAAATGTAAAAGCTAGAGAAGGGAGAGTGAGGGAAGTGGTTAGAAATGCAATGTGGCAACATGGGAAAGAGCCCCTACCCCCTCAGGTGTTCATAGACAGGTAGGATTTCCATGCACCTTGGTGCCATTCAGTTGCCTGACTGAGAAACAGCCCAGCCTGGTGCCCTTATACACCTTATACACATGTGTTCGCTCCAGTCACAGTTTCTCTATCAGTCACCAGTAGATGCAGCTCGTTCCTTGATCTCAAGTTAAAAGAACTACATTTCCTTAGCTTTGTCTCTAGAGATCTTAATCTAAACAGTGAAACTTAGAAAAGCTTCATGGTCAGAGCATGAGAGTAATGAATTATTAATTTTCCTGGTTTCCTTCCTTGGAGACTTGCCTTGGCATTTTTATTCATGCACACACAATGCTGAGGGTGCAGAGGCTCTCAACTCATCAAAAGTCTCCTTCCTTTTGCAGAAGAATGATGGGCAGTTCACCGTCATCCAGCTGGTTGGGATGCTGCGAGGCATCGCCTCAGGAATGAAGTACCTGTCTGACATGGGTTATGTGCACAGAGATCTGGCCGCCAGGAACATCCTGATCAACAGCAACTTGGTCTGCAAGGTGTCAGACTTTGGCCTCTCCAGAGTCCTAGAAGATGACCCTGAAGCAGCGTACACAACCAGGGTCAGTTATGGGGATGTCAAGCTGATTGAGCTCAAGAGAAATGTATTTCTTGCTACATTTTGGTGTTCAGGCTCTCTAGCCAAGAGTTTCTATGAATCCAGAGCCTCTAAACTGTGCAAGAGGGTTAGATCAGGTGATAACAGTTAATTGTCACCAGATTAGTTTTGCAAATGCCTTTAATTTATGCTGGAGACGTCCAAATAACACAGAGCTTAACTAATAACTGAAGTTTGAGTACACGAGTCAAATGGCAAACATTGCAAAATTGCCATGATTCTAAACTCTACTCTGTCCACTTTGGTGAATACCAAAGGGAAGAAAGAGCAATTGCTTTGCTCAGACACCCATCCTGAGACGTAAGCCACGGTCTTCTGAACAATTTGACCCTTTTAAAACATTGTTAAGCATGTAACAAATGCCCACTGTAAATAATGCACATTGCCTTCAGCATTACCCAGTTGAGAGTGATTTCTCCCAACCCAAGAAAGAGCTTTTCCATCCTCAGTGCTCTGCCCCTGCTCTGCTCACATGGCACTGGCACTGGAGAGAGGGGCTGGGCAAGACCCACCTTTAACAGCACAGGCTTGGAGAGAGCCTCCAATATTAATGACAGTGATTGGCACACCTTGGGCATGTCTTATTACTGTGTTTTTCCAAGGGTATTGTTTTGTGGGTGGTGGGAGCTGTCCTGTGTCATGTTCCCTGTTCCTGTGGACATTTTGGAAAGGCCTTTCAGCTTTTGTCAGTCATGGCCCCGTGATGGGACTCAGTGCACAGCTGGACTGGCACTTCCCTGCAGGCTGAAGGGCTCTTGGCCAGCCCTGCTGTGGCTCCCCTGTGCTGCCATGTGCTAATTGGCACTGCTGAGAATCTGGCCCTTCACTTAAGGCATGCGCTGCTGAGCTTGTGAATAAGTAATTATGGGAAGAAGAGACTTTTTAAAAGTTGCTTTGAAAATGTGTTCCAAGTCTTGTCTTTTTCCAATAACAAACACTGTTAGGGGGCATTCAGGGAAACCTTCCAATATTTAGCTCAACACGTAGAGGAAGGGACTTCACAGAAAAATATTTTTTTATATAAATCAAGAGAGACAGCTCTTTAAATCCAATGAGAAAAGTATTCCTTAATCCAGACTCTCCTTTCCCTCCCCTTTCCCTTCTCAGAGCTGATCTGAAGTTTGATTTCTAAAATGATAGAAAGGAGAAAAGGAAACAGCAAAGCACATTTGACAGCTGTGGCATCATTTTGAGTCCCACAGCAGAGGCTAAGCTGGCTGGTCTTTGCGCACACAGATTTCTGTGCCTGCTACACAGATCTCTCTGCAGGACCAGGACTGCATTAAAAAAAAGAAAAAAGAAAAAAAAGGGAATTACTTCCGCAGCAATTTGCATGAAGCCCTCGTTAGATCAAAGTCTTCCTCAGCCTCAGAACTGTCTGTTCCTCCCCCGCTCGCTCTCAGAAATGGAGGAACTGTATTCCCTTACCAGCCCATGCAACATAATTGAGATGTTGATCCTATACATGTCCCAGCATTCAAACAACATTCAAACAACAAACCTTCAGGACAGCCAATTAGTAGGCAGCCTACAAATGCTTATGGGCTGAGATAATGTGGAAAGGGGCCCCATGCTGTCAAACAGATTTACTTTAAAATTCGATGTCTCTTTCCAGAGAGAAAATAACATCCCTTGGTGCTCTGAGAAGAGCTGTTTCGACTTTTTTCACATGTTCTCTGCCCTCCTCTGCAATCTATTTTTTGGGGTTTTTCTCCATTTCTTTTCCATTTAGGGAGGGAAGATCCCCATTCGATGGACAGCGCCTGAAGCGATCGCCTTCCGCAAATTCACATCTGCCAGCGACGTCTGGAGCTACGGCATTGTGATGTGGGAGGTGATGTCCTACGGCGAGCGGCCCTACTGGGAAATGACAAACCAAGATGTAAGCACGTGCCAGAGCTGCTGTGTGATGGGACTTGGAGGGCTCAGCATTCATTCTGCTATCAGAGAGGCAGAATGGGGAATAGAGGAGGAGAGCTGCTGTAAAAATGGCTTTGCTGCCCCATGCCAGACAGAAATGATCCTCCCCTTTGATGCTCTTTCTTTTTCAGCAACCCAGAACAGGCTGTGCACAGAGGGAAATGTGAAATGTGTCTGCATGGAGGCAAACCTGCTTCCCCCAGCAGACCGCTGGAGCTTCACTAATGCTGTTAGAGCTGGAGCCTGTCCCTCCTCTGCTTAATGACAAAGGCCTGCCAGGGGATAGATGCTGATAAACTGGCAGCCTTTCAGTTGTGTTTTCAAACCCCTGCAGCCACGTAAAGCAGAAACTCAAGAGAGTCGTGGTGAGGGCTTTGTTTCCTGGCAGAAAAGCTGTGTGATTTGATCTAGTGGCAGCAGTCCACAGAGTTCCAAGAGTTTTGGTTGTTCTTGTCTGCTGATCTCAAGAGAATAGTTTTTCTCCAGTTGTGAACATCTTGTAAGTCTGTGCTTGCACAAGCTCTCATTTGTTTGTACAGTACCCTTTGAGTTGTGTCCCCTTGCTCCTGGGTTCCAGTGCCCCCTTGAGTCTCTGACCTCGAGGCCACCCTCTGAAGCATCTCCAAACAGTGAGATGCCTGGGAATACTCTCTCCCACCTGACTGCAGCTCCAATCCCAGCCTGGCTATGGATCTTTTGATCCTACTGCAGGGCTGCATTCTACCCTGAGCTCACCATCAACACCTATCCTTGTCTAAGGCTAAATAAATTTAAGCCTGGAGTAGCCAGATTTTCTAGGTCCCTCCTTTCTCTTCATATATCTGAGAACTATGGTTTGCAAAGGTCTCTGAGAATGCCAGAATGAGGTCAGATTCACCAATGGGGCATGTGGGGCAGCCCTGCTACCTGTGGAGATCACGCTGCTGGATGGATTTCCTCTGGTCACAATACTTGGTGTTTCATCCTTTCTGCTTTTTTGAGCAGTGTTCCTATTCCAGCAATTTTCTTCCGTTTCACTGGCAGCAAGGGCTCTGGCTGAGCATTCTGCCCTCCCTGAGTTTTGTTAGGAGCCTTTGCCATCAGTGGATGTTACTACCTGTCATGCTGAGCTGCTGTCTCATCTCACTTTGAGTCCAGGCATGGAAACGAGTGGTACCTTTGAGATGGTCACGCCATGCTTCCTGCCAGGGACCTGAGCACACTGTTTGGCATGAATGCCCCACTGCTCCTGCATTGCTGAGGCTGTCACATTTGCAGGAAGTTCAGTAAAGCAGCATGTACCTACACAGGGATTTATCTTAATCAAATACAGGAACTTGCTTCCATAGTCTGTGCAGAGAAGGCAGCAGTTGAGAGCCAAGCTTTTTCGTTCACACTGAGCACTGTAACTATCTTTAATGCTGATGTACTGGCATAGCACAGATGTTGTTCAGTAAATGCCAGGCTAAGATTGAGGCTGGTGCCAGTGAGGTAATGGTCTGTGGCCAGGGGAGTCCCTTGTCTGAATCATAACGTTATGAGCATCCACACTTTACAGAACTGCTCCAAAAAAGCCCAAATGCTTCCATGTTCTGTGGGGCACAGACTTACCTGGAGTGAAAGCAGAAAACAAAGGACTTCTGCGATGTTTATGAGCATCAGTTCCTGCTTAGGCTTTGCTTGTGTAACCTCTGTGTTACTTGCCTCTGCCCTTTGTGCAGATGTTAAGTGCCTGGATGGTGGTGGCATAGGAACTTAATTCAGTGCTGTGGCATATTTCTCATGCAATTCTTCCTCCTTCAGCTCCTGAAGGCCTCCTCTTCTTTCCTCCTCTGCTTGTGTTGACAGAAGAGTCAGTGGTGTTAGATACAGCATTGGCTCTTGTGCAGAGAAAAAAGGGGTCACATATATTTTGGACTCTGTTGCACAAGAGTTTCTTATTGTATGGCTTGTAATTAAAGCACATCATTTTCAAACACAGCTGATGATGAGCAAAATTATTCTCACCCTGTTACAGATAGCTTGCTTTAAAGGAAGTGAAGTGCAATAGAGCAGAAAATGTTTTAAGGCTATAAATCACATTTTAAAGTCATGCTGGTTTCTGGATGGCCCTCTAAAAATATGCTTTGGCTTGACCACAAGATAAGGCTTTGATGCAGGAATTATTGAGAGGAATATGGTGGCCTGTGTTGCACAGGTCGATAAGCTAAATAATCATGGTGGTTGATTTTTAGTGTTCAGGCTGGTGAATCTATGAAAACACCACTGAGTGTTGCTTTGGTTTACTGGAATAGACCATCCCAAATTGTCCTCTCCTAAACATCCAGTTTCCCCAGTCTGAATAGTGCTCGTGCAGAGGAGAAAGAGAGACAAAAGTGCCTACTTAGGTGCAAATTCTAAATCTGCAAGTCTTACAAAGCAGTAAGCACACCAATGAATGGAGCAGCAAATGTCCCATTTTCTTATTTTCTAATCACTGTGCTGGCTGCAAGTGACTCAGTTTTTGTTGTTTCGGGGTTTTTTTTGCTCCTCTTACTGCTAGACGCCTGAAGGCACCTTCAGATGCAAGAGTGTATTTCAGCATCCTAGCTTCTTGGAGCATTTTGAGACCATTTACATTGTATCACCAGGACGGATGACATCCTGTAAATTGAGTTAACGCTATTGATTGTGATGTTACTGCCAGGAATATCCAGCACGCATAACCCCACTGCAGATATAGTTCAGATATTCTGATGTGGTGCCAGATGGTCTGCTCCTTGTCTTGCTACTATTTTCTTTCTGCTACAGTTGGAGGATGACCCATTATTGTTATAAATACAGACGTGGACACAGCAAATCACATTTTCATGGCTGTGCCACACTGAAGCTTTTTCTTTATAGGGCAGCTGCAAATTTGGAATCAGGGACCAGCTGAAAAGCATGGTGTGAAGAACAGAGGGTATAAATAGCACAGTGTGGTGGAGCTGGGAGCAACAGCCAGGCCATAGAAGAAATCTCCTTGCAAGTGCAGGTTGGGTGGAGAGTGGTGCAACTGCTCCACTGAAAGAGGAAATCTCAGATGGGCACAAAAGGACTGCACATGTCCAGATTTTCTGCTGTGCTTTTTACCTTGGAGATGGTGAAGCCTCACCTAACTGCTTCTCTGCTATGTACATCCTCAGAGAGTTTGAGGTTCCCACTACTGCTGCTCAGTCAGCCTGGCTCATTCCTGCAACTCTTACACTTAGCAAAAAGCTCTGTGATGGAGGACAATTTAAAAACAATCTTTTTTGAATTCTGAAGCCTTCTGAAATGCAGTGCTAGCCTGACACAGTTCATTCTGTACTACCCATCTAGCCAGTGAAGAGCAAGACAACTTCCATGCCAATCACAGAGCCTTCTTTTTCAACACAGGATGTTTTCAAATTTTGAAATGAGTGAACGGCATTTAAGGTAGTGTTTGGAATGGACAGTGAAGCACATGTGGTTTTCACGTGGTCATAGCAAATATCTGCTTCCAACTCCTTTTCATCAAGGAATCTTGGGAGTGGAGGGTGTGAAGATGGGCTGCATGACTCTCTTGGCTCAGACACAGAGCCTTGTGGCTTGAAACAAGACCTGCATTCTCCTGAAAATTGTAATGGTTCAAAATGGGAACTGCTGAGCTTAAAGCCCTGCCACAGATCTGCCTCAAACTGGGTAAAACAAGTTCTTCAATTCTGCCCTCATTTATTCATTTTATGCCTTTCAAGAGGGCAAGCAACACACATGCTTATCACTTGTTTTAGATATAAAACCATAGATGGTTTGTATTTTAAATCAGTGCAACAACTCCCCTGGTTTTAATTTACATACTCTTGGGCTGACATTTTAAATTCCTGGCAGAAATGTGGCCACACTAAGAAACTACTAGACCCAGACAGTATTGAATGATATATGAGATGGTTGTTCTGCCTCTGCCTCCAATCCATCCATCAATTAGCATTCAAAGTCTCTTTTGAAATACAGTCAGACTTTTATTACTGTAATACAAATTTGTGGTCTAGCACATGCCTTTTCATTTAAAAAGAAGCCAACATCTGAATAAACAAAATCACTGCACGCCAAGAAGATGCCAGAAAGCCCTGTAGGCTCTTTTTCATTGATTTAGCCTAGGCTCCAGGAGTTTCCTGGTATATAACATAGAGACCACAACTGAGCTTTGAACAAGTGCAACCAGGCAATCTGGCCCCCTGGTTGCAGCAGTGCCTTGGCTATCTAGATTCATTTTGCAATGACTAAAAATAAAGTTATTCAATACATCCCATGGAAAATATGAAAGATAGAGGAGCTTACTGAGTTTGCCTCTCATGTGCAGAGTTGGGGGGTGGCAGGATTTTTTGTGAGCATATTGCTGATCCCTAAGTTCTATGTTAGAGTCAGTTTGCATTTGGGAAAAAGATGAGGGGAAGCAAAGCCTTGTGTTTTGTGTCCTGTAGGTGATTAAAGCCGTGGAGGAAGGCTATCGCCTGCCAAGTCCCATGGACTGCCCTGCTGCTCTCTACCAACTAATGCTCGACTGCTGGCAGAAAGACCGCAACAGCAGGCCCAAGTTTGATGAAATTGTCAGCATGTTGGACAAGCTCATCCGTAACCCCAGCAGCTTGAAGACCTTGGTTAATGCATCGAGCAGGTACAGACTCGGCCCAGAACCATTTCTCAGAGCAAGCTCCTTGTCTGAACACCCACCCCTAGGGCTGGATTCCCTCTGGTTATTTAGCCCGAGTGCATGCTCTTGGGGGAATGTTCCTTCAGCTTTGTTATGTCCAGGGAAGTTGACTTATATCAACTTTTTCTGTTGCAGTTGGCAGCCAAGTGGGCAATTCACTCACTCCAAATGCAGCACTGCTACCACAAAGAAAATTACTGTGGTCTGTCTTTCAGAAACAGGAGTTTCAGAAGTACTTTGTCTGAGACAAAATTACCTGTGCTGCAAGGTTAGAGAAGGCAAGACTTGAGTGCACAAGGCAGATAGTAAATACTGCTCCAATTATCTGCCTGTTGACTTTATCTTGGTAATACAAACGAAGGGTGTCTCTTGGGAAAACTCTTAGGGAGTGCAAAGCTTATGGATGTCCAGGTACATCCTTCCACGACTATTCCCAGGCATGCTAGCCACCACTACAAATCATGAGAGTCATGGTAATTGGAAGAGGAGGTCTCTGGTTACCAAAGTACTGTACACAAACCCTTTGCTAAAACCACACGAAGTGAATAGAACAGACAGTTTGTATTTAAACATGAATCTGAATAGCTACACAGCTACAAGTAAAGTAAACACAATCAAGAAATAAAGCTGCACTTGGGAGAAGGAGCTAAATAGTCTTGGTGAGGCTTTTTCTATTTTCACTGTAACCACGCATTTACTTCTGAGTCATCAGTGTTGCTGATCACGCAGTCCCTTGCAAGGTCATAAAGAAGTTATATATATATATGTGTGTGTGTGTGTATGTACATATATATATATTATATATGTTATATGTATATTATTGCTGTTTTGCTGATGGCAGTGGAGTTCCCTAGATTAGCCATGGAAAAGGCCCTTCAGAAAAGTTTGGCCTCAGAGGAGGGACAAAAAAAGGATATGTTGTTTTCTTTAAACAGGAATGAGGGTGATAAGATTAGGTTAGACTGGTGGTATGGGCCAAACGAGATACACTGCTGTGAGCTTGTAGTCTTTTGTCCCCACACCTTCCAAGTGAGCCTTGCACAGCTGCATGTGGCACATCTCACGTGCTGCATCTGGGCATCCCTCTGGTGGCATGTCCCTGTGCATGGTATTTCATGCACTGAAAGAGAAGAACATGAAATATTTGTTAATTTTTAAATACAAGCTAGATCTGGTTCCTCAGGCTATTTTACATGTACCATTTACCATCTGAAGAAGAAATTATTCTTATTAGCAATTAGATGTAACGTCAGTGCCAGCAAACCTGCAGGAAAAGGTTTATGACAGCATAAAATATGTGAGGTTTCTCTTTTATTTTCAACTCAGAACAGTTATTTTCCAGGCCTGTTACATGGTGTTTCCTGCACTCTTTTATACCAAACTGTTATGCCAGATGAGGAAAATAGGCAGGAAACCATTTCCTTGAGCTGCTAAGCACTTTGCTGATGTTTTATTCCATGAATAGGTCCATGCAATTCCAAACCTCTCCTTTTCAGAGCTGCTGTGGATATTTTTGATACGGATGAAACACCTGAGCAGTCAGGCTGTGGGGGTGTTTCTATTCTCATAGATTGCTGTTCCCAGACCATAGTAATTCCAAATGAATCATAATTTCAATATAGAGCAGCTGTAAAGGATTTTTTTTTATATATGTAATGTGTTTTTTATGGAAATTCTCATTAATGCAAATAAGGGAGGAAGTCACTCTCTACATTACAGCGCGCGCTATGATATCACTAGGTACCTTCTGACATTAGTGATGAAAATCCACTTCTCATTATGATTACTTAGGAGTTTTGAATTTCTCATGTGTATAAAATGTTATGGGAAGCCATTATGTTCTTGGTACTGCAAGTATTCACATTTTATTAGACCCTTCAGCATTGCTATTAAATAAACAAATAATACTAATGTGCTCATAAAATATATGAAGATTCCTGAAGTGCTATAATAATATAATATCCCAGCTCTCCTTCCAGTTGAAAGTCTTTTAAGTGTAATAGCCACCGTCAGAGGCTGACCTGGAAAATGTGGTGTTTTTTTACCTGTGGGTAAAAATCTTTGTAGAGGGCTTGTGTTAGCTGTGTGTCCCCTTTTACAAAGAAGGGAACAGATCTGGTTTCTTTCCTGGCTGACCTTGGACAGGCCCTCATTGCTCTCTGCACATCATTAGTGGGGTGGTGGACCCTGCTTGTGCCAGGTACTGTATCAGTGCTCCAGCTGTGGTGAAGGGTTATTATTTGCCTGAATTGCTTCCTCCGTGCGTGGCATAGCTGAGCGGGGAGCAATTGCCTGGCAGGCTCTGGAGTGAGGGTGTGGGAGCAGGAGTGTGCCTCTTTTGCAGGGCTGGAGCGTGGCTGGAGCATTGCTGCTCTCTGCAGGCTCCTTGGATGCTGTCGGCATCCGAAACTCCCCCATGACTGTGCAGGAGCAGCTCTTGGACTGTTTAATGCTCCCTGGGCTGGCAACAGCTGCCTGCCATTGATGGCCGCTGCTGGGAAATGTAATTTGGGTTTCAGCTTCCAGGCTCTGCGCTGCCTTAAGTTAATTATGAGCTTTAAAGGTGGAAGAAAATAGCAAAGCAGGAGTCATCAAAGCGAAGACTTTGAATTAGGAGTGACTGGGGGAGCCTACTTGGGGCCAGGAGGTAACTGGGATGGATGCCACTCCTCTCCTCCTCGTTCTGCTTGTGGTGAGGACTGGAAATGGAAGGAGCTACCTCAAGAATGGGTGAGGTTGCAGGTGAAGTGCTGTGTTTGATACATTGCATATTAAGCCTGCTGGGAGGATTTAGGCTGCAGCAATCACTGAAAATGGAACAGAAGAATCATCTTTACCATAAAAAAATGCAAGCAACTTGAGTCACGTTGTGTATCTCTGAATACTGATTCTATTTGCTTCTTTGTTTTTGCTTACCTTTAGAGTGTCAAATCTGTTGGTAGAGCACAGTCCAGTTGGGAGTGGTGCCTACAGGTCCGTGGGTGAGTGGCTGGAAGCCATCAAAATGGGCCGATACACAGAGATCTTCATGGAGAATGGATACAGTTCAATGGATGCAGTGGCTCAGGTGACCCTAGAGTGAGTAGTGTCCAGATCATTTTCACCTCATTTCTTGGAATTGCAACGGGAGAAGGGAGGAGAAAGACAAATCATTCAAGAATATGTAAGGATGAGGCTGCAGAAAGAGAAAACATTATCCTGTGTTTGCAGTCAGCAGTTTCCCTTACAGCACCTCTATTGATAACAAGTGCAGGCAAGACTAAAATTTACAATTACTATGTTGGCAGCCAGTATTTTGTCTCCTTTACTCACAGAAATTAATGCATGAGTTTCTGTAATTGCCAGGCCATCCTCTTGACACACTAGGAGTTGATTATTTGGGATTACCAACAAAATAAACCCTCTGCCCTACTAGTAAATGTATAGGTCCCTGCTGAGACATCCTGGCTTCACAGCAGATGAGCTGGCTTCATGGCTGATCAAGTGAACAGTGAAGCCCAGTAAGGTGTGGAAATGGTACTCAGCATAAGCAGAAATAGGTAAGAGCTGATGCCAGTGCAAGAGCATCAGCAGCCCGCAGCTCTAGAGGACAGGCTTCCTGAACCAGACCCTTTCTTCTGGATGTGCCCGTGGCCTTTGCACGTGGGTGTGACTGCAGTTGAGGCAACAGCTTTCAAATGACTTGGTAAATGCCTCAGGGCTGCTAATTTGCTATGCTGCACCTTTAATTGCCTGCCTTGCTTGTGTGTCAGTATTTTCCTGCTGCTGCCTGTGCTGTCTCAAACTCCCCTCAAAGCCTGCCTTTCTAGCTGGGTTAATTCGAGCTTAGCTTACTGCAGGCATTAAGGCAGAATGGGAAGAATTGTCCTGTGCTGCTTTGGAGAAGGTTGTGTCTCCTCTGACCACATGCAGACTGCCACTGCACATACAGAATTGCTTCTGAGGGTTAAGAATAAACCAGGAAAAATCCCCCTACCCCACAGAGCTGCAGCATTTCCTCCTGTCTGCCACAGAGTTTCTGTGGAGCTCACCACAGAGCACAGGAGTGTGATGCAGGTCAGTGACATCTCCATGGAGTTCAGTTTTCCATTACATACACAGAGGGAGTGCAGGAGCCTATCTGCTCTCACTCTGATTTCACTTCCTCCACTCACACCATCAATATTTGCCCCTTACACCTGGACTCATCCAGTCTTTTTCAGCCATTCACATGAAAACCCTGAGCTAGGGAAGAAGTCCTCTCCAGCAAGTGTCTGGGAAATCAGGGTGCATGGATTCTTACCTGGATCCTCTTTTCAGCTCCTGAGACCCTTACATGTTGTTTCCCAGTCTTTTCCTGCAATTATGTGTCACTTTACTTGGGCTTTTGAGGACTCCACAGTTTACACTGATGATCTACAAACATGGACCAAGGACATCCATCCCCAGGCTGGTCAAGAGTCCACATGGCAGAAATAGCTAGCCAGAGGCTGAGCAGGAAGAAGGGGGATAGGAGGAAGCAGTAATTTTTGAGGAAAGGAAAACACTGGAGCATTCCCCTCCACAGTACCACCCCAATTTGATAACCAGAGCAACTTCTGGTAGAAAAATGCAGGTTGTCTAAAATCCATCACAGATTTATTGCTGTTTGGCTTAATTAGTCAAGTCGAAGAAGAAAATTAGGCTTCTCCCTTGTTCCTCTTCACAATTTTCTGCAGTTTCAAGAGCTCTACATGAAATGCTCAGAAGTAAAATGCTTTTGTTTGGGTCACAGAAAATGTTGACTTGAAACCCAAATTAGTGGGTGTTTTCAATTGCAAATTAGATGTTTACTTACTTGTATAACTTTAAACAATCTTGCTATCCCTTCTACGCTGTCTTGGCATCCCATGCTGCTAAAAGTATTCCTAACCTCCAAATTTCCTGAAGTGCAGCATTTCAGATTATGAAGTAAGATTCTCTGAAGTAAATGAAGTAAGATAATTTGACTTTAAAATTTAACTGTTTCCCTATGTTTACTCTTCGGTATTCCAGAAATTTTAAAAAAGTCCCCCAAAATCTTTTCAGGTGATCCAAAAGTGCTTTAAAATGTTTTTTCCAATTGGCAATGAACCAATAAACCAATTACCTGAATAGTTCTAGCCAGAAAGGTGAGTTTGTTTGAAAGGCTTTAAATAAAATTATAGCTGCCAGAGATACTCTGACTCTCACCAGCCTGCAAACCTCCTCAAAGGCCCCCTCACCAGGTCCCAGGGTGTCCTCTTTGGCCCAAATGTCATCCTGCTGATCCCAGAGGAGAGAACATGTCTGAGCTGCTCAGCTTCAGCTTTCTCCTGGGCTTCTAGAACAGCAGAGCAGTGCAAAGGAGCTCATGCCTGGCAGCCTGGGAGAGCTTTTGGGTTTGTTTTTTTTTAAACTGGAAGGAGGCATTTCATGGATCCATCTTCCATTTCAGTTGAAGCTGATAAAATGTTGAAACCTATTTCAGCTAGTTATCCATGTCAGCAAATAAATTGTCCCTCCCCACCCCAGCTGCCTGGACAGAAATAGTTGCAGAGATACCTGCTTGGTTCTTCTCTGTCAGCCCACACACCTTTGCATTGCAGAGGTGGCTTGGCAAAAAGGCTTGACCCCACTCAGGTCTATTTTTGGAAAACCTGTGGAAGATTAATCAAAAGGCCAAGTACCCATCCAAATCAAAACTTCTCTCATTCCTCTCAGAAACAGTAAAAAAAAGAAAAAAGCAGCAGATTCTCAGCTGTTGAAAAAAGAGAAACCATCATAGCAGCTTAAGAGGAAAAGTGCCATGTATTGAAGTCCTGAATTCAGTCTGATGTAAACTGGCAGACTGCCCTTAAAAAATAAAGTAAGGGAGAAAATGGCTCCTGGTGGGCTCAGCTGAGACTCTCATGGGTTCTCCAGAAAACAAACACCAGAACAAGCAAAGTTCTTTAACGGTTGATATACTGAGAGGAGTTGGTTTTCTGGAGGTTTTCTCTTTTTTTCTCCCTGTAAAAGTGAGCAACAAAACATTTTGTGCTCTACAAAGGAGAATTCAGGTTAAATGTTCCTTGTCATTTTTAATAGAGGCAACTGTTCTGTATATTCCAGAGCTGGGACTTGGGGGGATCGGGTGAAAAGATGATCTGAACATCTGAAAGCAGCTTGGTTTCCCCAAATGACATCAGTAAAACAGTCTTTACAATTTAGGAGGTTGCCTTCAAATACCACCCAAAATTATCTTTACCAAATTCAAACCATACAGGAGACATGTAGAAATTAGGTGGATAACTGCTGCCAGAAAAAGCATGGCAAAAACATATGATAAATGTAAATAATTTTTTTAAATCTACTGAAAAAAACAACCTACAAATGCTGTAGGAGGAGTTGGCCATAACACTGACAGGACTGGTAATTGTGGGTGCCCAGTTTGTGGCTTCTTTACAGGATCTGGTTGATTGAGTTGATGTTCAGCTTTTTTTTTTTGCTTGTTTTTAAAAAACCTCCCTCCCCTGGCATGAAAAGCAAAATCCTGATTACCATTCTGATTCTTTCAAACTAGTGGCTTGATGCATTTATTCTAGAAAAGAGTAGTATTAGTGACAAATTTCTGAAAGCAAAAGATTAAAAATCTAAGATGGATGGATATCACCCCAAGTCCTAAGCTCTGCCTACTTAAGCAAAGACCTGAAAATGTATGTGTTCAAACAAAGAGTGATTTCTACATTTAGCTCTAATTCTTGCAAAGGGATGAATCACCTTGTGAAAAGTGGAGCCTCACCCTCCACCCTCTCTTTCCAACTGGATATCAGACTTGAAGGGAACCTTTCCAGTGGACCAGACCTGCTCTTTAAACTTGTGGACCACCTAGTGACTTTGAGTGTGTCTGGAGCTCTTTCAATCCACTGCAAGAATAACTTTACCAGGACAATACTCAAGAATAGATAGATCCATGACATGAGTTTCAGTCTGACCCTTGACTGGACCAATTACTAACCATGTGGACTACATATTTTCACCTTTTGAAAGATCTGTAATCACTGAATCTCAGGACACCCTGTTGTTTGTTATTAGATGAAGAGCTCTGAATATTTGTAATAATATGTGTTGTGTTGCTTTGCATTGTATATATTTTTCTTCTAAAATAAAATAAATTATTTATTAAAAGTTATACTGGATGAAGAACATTTAAGAGTTCACCTGCTCTAGATGCTTATTCTTAACCTGAAATCTCAGTCCTGGGATTTTGATGCTGTGTCTGCTTCTGAACAAATCCTCATCTTGTAATAAATTAGAATGGGAATTATGAGTAAGAGCAGATGAACTCTTAAAACAAAATTTTCTAAGTCCTCATTTCATGCAAATGTCCCTAGCAAGCGGATTCCTCTCTCTTTAGCATTGTCTGAAGGTCTTTGAGGTTCTTCTTGTTTCCCCTCTCTCAAACTGACAACTAATTCCATGAGTAGTCCCAGTCTGCATGGGCAGCTGTAGTTACACCACGTGCAGAAGAGTGGTGAGATCTGCCCTGGATGGGAGGTGAAATACAAAATACCTGTGGTAGGCTGACGGCTGCTGACCTCAGAGATCTTTCAGGACTGTGGCCCTTTTGCTTGCATGACTAAACCGGCTGGTGAGGGGGTTGTATTTTATGTGGAAATCAGTCCTAGTCTACACTGTGTTTGGCAAACTGGTCCATGGTGTATAAGTAGTTCTATTTGTAAATAAAATGTTTTAAATCTATTTCTTACAACATGGAGACTGTGAATTCAACCCTTGCACATGGAGGCTCTTGCAGGGAAGGGGATACCGTGTTGTCACTGGCATGTTGCAGCTGGGCTTCCATGAAAGGCAGTGGTAAGAGAGCAGCATGCATGCAGCTGTGTACAGGCTGCTTGGCATGAGCTGACACCAATTTTCCCCCTTATTTCCTTGGCTTTTTGGTCAGCTTAGGTAAGCCTTTTAATACCTTGTTGACAAGTGATTCAAATTCCTGCCTGCTTTAATTTCCAGCCCTATCTGAATGGAAGAAGTGAAAAGATAAACTTCCTCCCCAAAATAAGAATAAAAGTTGTCCCATGGCTGGGGAGGCCAAGTATTTTGAAGCAGGGAGACCACCCAGCACATGGGTGCACGGATCTCCACTGCAGAGGCACACGCAAAACCCAACACCAGGGGTCAGGTCACTCCCACAGCAAGGAGCAGCCTGGATCCTGATCGCAGATGCCCGCGGGTCTCAGTTGTGCATTTTCCTGCAGGGAATGCACATTTTTACTGTAAAGCCCCAGTGGGTGTCTGCACACATCTCCTCTTGGAGAAATTTCCATTTGGCTGCAGTAACATGAGCCAAGCAGCCCTGACTGGAGCTTAAAGGCAGTTGTTTTTACAGCCCTCCAGCACAGAAGTTGTTGGGGATGTTTTTGTCCCCAAACCAGGTGGTTTGTGCACCCAATTCTGTTCAAAACTGTATTCTGCCTTACACCTCTTTAAGTGCTTCAGCACTGGATGGATAGGCTTACAGCAACGTGCTGTAAGTCATGCTTGAAACATCGGAATTAAAGCTACATTCTCTAGGCAGTTTTTTAAAAGTTTTTGTTGTTGTCTTTGATATGTGCAAGGTGGCTTTTGAATAAACCTGCTGATTTTTATACTTGGCAAGCATCTGGTTCAGGAGCTGTGTCTTCTGGGTCATCTTTGCTGAGGTGCAAGACCCCACAGTAGTGTTTTTCCCCTCTCTGAGGAGTCCCCCATGCTTTTGGCTAGTGGCTTCACATTTGAGAGGATTTGATATTAAAAAAAAAATCCTGAATCCCCTGGTGAGCAGTTAATGTATTGAAACCAGAAACTCTTTTTTCTTCTTTCTCTCTTGTAAATCAATGAGACACTCCTCAAGGATATTGAGTTAAGGGGATACTGTATGGGGAGAAAAAAAGGCTGTGTAGTGAACTGGGTGGGGGATTTATTGGACTGATGGGGCTGTGTGTGAAAGGCCAAGACGTGCATGCTTTTTTCCGAGTTTGAGGCTGTTTTTACCAGCAAAACATGCAAGAGTGTCACAAATTATACATCTGTGAAATACGTGGTACTGGATTTTCAAAAGAGCTCAGCTTGCACTTTAGATACCTGGGAAAAAAATAAAGCTGATTTTTCAAAAATGCCAGCAGAGCAGGACTCAGCAGGGGGAAGATGGATGTTGTCTCTTTTAAAAATCAGGTCCTATACTGTGTTGGTTTCAGAGGTTGGTTTGTTTTTTTGTTTTGAGGGTTTTTTTGGTTGGTTTTTTTTTTTTTTTTGATCTCTGGTGTGAACTTCCAACTGTGCTGTGTACATAAAATAAATTGCATGTAACAATAGCATTACTTCATTTTCCTTCATTATTAAGATGGCTTGCTGAACTAGTTTCACAATTCAGTGGAGGCAGAAATTAAAACATGTCCCCCTGAGAAGGTAGACACCTTTTGCAGGTGCTGCAGCCTTTTCTGTGCCAGGTAAGGAGCACTGCTGATGTGTCTCATTGACCTCCTTTGCTCTGTGCCCCTTATGTTATGATTTCCCTTTGCATCATCAAGAAGCATTGCTGAAAAAGGGTACAATAATGAAATTATGTGTTTAGCCCAAAGCAAAAAACTTGGTATTTTCCAAATCAAAAGGCAGAAAACATGACAGTCCTTGGAGAAGTACAGATGTAGCTTTTGGCTTCAAGTCGTTTATGTGTTAATGTATTAGCCTTCACTCAAGACTGCTTTTTATTCAAAGCAGCATTCATCTGTGTAATTTGGGGACATGGATGATTGGTTGTTACTTGCACAGGAGTTTCTGTCCAGAATGTGAAGCTGCTGAGAGAGGCACACCTCCATAGGTAGCTCATGTGAAAATGTTTTGGTGTTGCTTGCACGTGCCCTCCTGCAGTCCAGCGCACAGCCCTGCTGTGAACTGTAGGCCAGGTTTGCAATTATGTCTCAGGTGGTAGTTGGGCTCCCAGGTGTTGCTGGGGATTTCCAGCCTTTGCATGAATGCAGCAGCATGGTTTCCAAAAAGCAGCTGCATGATCAAGGCCACATCCCAGTGGCTTTTGGTGGAGAACTTTCTCCTAAAAGAGTTGCACACAGGGTGTCAGCAGCTTGGGGATTCACAAGTGTATCTCCAGGACCGTAAGGCACAACTTAGAAACATCCTTAATTCACTCCAGTCTGCAGGTAGAAAGTGAGGGATCGATATTTTTCTATCAGTGGAAGTCTTCAGACAAACACCACATCTCTAATAGTCAACCCGCTTCTCTAACAGCTTCTGTGTCTTGGGCTGGAAACATATATGCAACTGCCTTGATGTTTCTGCTGAGCTTTTATTCTTACAGTTTCTTTGTTAACATTTTCTACCCACTAAGAAATTTCTATAATTACACTCTGCCATAACTGATGGCCTTACCTGGCTTAGAGCTGTCATTGATAACCCAAGGTCCTGCTGTGCTATCTCCAGGAGATGATTTGTCCCACTCCTGTCTTTGGATGGGATAAATTGTATACCCTGGAGGTGCCTCTTAATGCCGTTCACGTGAATCACATGAAAGTGATTACCTTCATCTATACACCCGAATTTTGGAGGGTGGAGTCAATGCAAACAATCTTTCCTACTGATCCTGCATTTTACATTAACTGTCTTATTTTACAGCTTTCCTGTAGTGGTAGCCCAGTAGGCAGAATCAACACAAATGTCCTTGGCATCTAGAATTCACCCCTCCAAAGCAAAACCAAATGTGGGTTTATAGGAAGATTTGCAAAGACCCAAAAGGGAGCTGCTTTGTTAATTCTTGTTGACTTTAAGGAGTCATCAGGATGGTGGCCATGTTTGAGGCTTTTGCCACTTGTGTTTCTTTGGCTTTCCCTCATCTGAAGAGGAAGAAAGCATGGATTGACCTCATTCCTCACTGCTTATATCCAAGATCAAATACCAGCCTCTCCCATGAGAAGAGGAAACAGCAACATGGGCTTCCTTACATGGCTTTTCTCTTGGAAATAGGACTTTTCACGCCTAGCAGAATCCTTGGCCAAAGATGATGCTGACACTTTGCTCCTTGGCCAGCGAGGTGATCTCATTCAAATCACATCACCTCTCTGAGGTGCTGTCAGCCATAAAAAAAGAAAAAAATTACAAATGGGGAAAATAAAACCTGCCAACTAAACTTGGCTCTGGGAGCTGCCAGTGATAACAGGTAGGCACTGGCAGCAGCAGCGCATGCGGTGCGTGGTGTACGCGGCAACGTGTGCCTAAGAGGTCCATGGAACCAACGTCTGCTTTCTCCCACAGGGATTTGAGACGTCTGGGAGTGACACTTGTTGGTCACCAGAAGAAGATAATGAACAGCCTTCAAGAGATGAAGGTCCAGTTGGTGAATGGGATGGTGCCGTTGTAACACGGTTTTTAAAGTTGCTTCCTCAAGTGGGTCGGTCCTGCACTTTGTACTCTAGCCCTGAGATTTATTTTGACTAAAAAAAACCAAGAAAAGATAAAAAGGGAAATTCAGTGATTTCTATAACTGAAGGACATTGGCCTCTGCTGCAGCATTTCTAAAGCAGTGTTTGACTAAAGTTTTGCTTTTCTTCCTATTTGTGTCCTCATTTTCATGAAGTCAATGTAAGATGCATGGAACGTGGAAACGAGTCTGCTGTACATGAGGTTAACCAGTCTCTTAAGCTTCAGCGGTGATGACAAGCCTTCCACCACGTGTTGTCTGTACATGGGAGGTACATCTATATATATAGCACCTTTGTATACTGAATTACAGCAGCACATGGTAATGCTTCAAAGGACTGACTTGAATGGCAGATTTTTGTGGCCATTCATGGACTGCCAGTAGCTGCAGTTTGCTGAAGTATAACTTCGAGTCTTACTTGTCTACAGAAGTGTATTGAAGAGCAATATGATTAGATTATTTCTCGATAGATATTTTGTTTTGTAAATTTAAAGAAAAGAAAAAATATGCTGTTACACAGCATTAAGTTATAGAGAAGACTAGCATATAAACATGTCGCTTGCTTCATGGCAAATACAATACAGGGTGTATATTTTGTTTTCCTCCTTCTGTGTTACCAAGTTTTTTTATTTGCTCTTTGGGGAGGATAATACATGTTGAAAATGTATATACTGTACAGTTTGCTACGCATCAGGTACAAGATTTGGGCTCCTTCCTTGGTTTGTTCCTTCTTTCCTCCTTTTACTCAGTCTCCCTTTTGTGTTACCCCTATGCTTTGTATTTTTGCTGCAGTTTGGTTTGATCAATACATAAAGCTTTCAGGAGTTTTCATTATGTATATGAGGTAGAAGGAAGTTGCTTAAATAAAATATGTTGCCCCTCTCTTCTTTTACACCATGGGTTGAAGACATCCAGAAGAAGAGAAGTAAAACATCTGGTTCTTGATGGCCTCCAGCAACAACGTGGCATTGATTTTTCTGTGTCCTGGCCAAAGGTGACATGGGTTGCCTCTGCACAGGTGCTTTATCCCAGCATCCATCACCCAGTGCAGCCATCGCCTCTGTTCCCAGAGCCCGGGAGAGAAAGCATGAGGTGGTTTTAGCTGGAAGGAAGGAATTTTTGTTGTTCCTTTTCTGATGATGTTGGTTAAGTCCTGGGGCACAGTTTGGAAATGAGCCTGTGGCATCCAGTGTGGAGATTTTGTAATATTTCCCCCAGAGTGATGGAGTGGGATTATTTTTGGAACTGTACTGTCCCAACCTGCCTCTCAGCATTCCAGGTTTGCTGTGCACCTGGCCACTTTGTGACAGAGCACAGAGGGGAGGGAAGAGCAGAGTAGCCCAACATAGTCACAGTGATGGCATCCTGACGGCAAGGAGATGCCAATTGTCTGGGCTGGCACAGCTCAGATCAGGACTTGGTTGTAGCTGGAGTTCAGTGTATCCATTAAAGCCCATGGCTGGTATTTTCAGAGGGACCTGAGGGCAACCCAATCCCCTGGGAATCACACCAAGGAATATTCCTCCTATTTTTTTGTAGATAGGATTAAACAGCACAGTTAATTTGGTAGTCATAGGCTAGGCTTTTATTTTGTGAAGACTTTGATAAGGATTTTAAAACAGCTCAGTGGACTGCGAGGGTTTGTTGTTTCTGTAAATGTATTGCTTCCTTAGAGTTTGGATAGCATCTTGTGGCATCCTCCCTCAGCAATAACATCAATATATAGAGTTGCTTTAGCTCCCTTCATCCCCAGTGCTGCTGTGAGCCCAAAGAGCTCAAACAGCCAAAAGGAGGCCTGTGTCCTTCATGTCTTGCAGAAACAGGTGTTGCAAGGCACCTGAAGCCGTTTCAAAGTCTTTCTTTCACTTCCCCCAGCCTTTGGATGATATTTGATACACAGAATGTTTTTTTAAAGAAGGGAAGCATCTAGGAGAAGAGGTTGAGTTGTTTTTTCCTTAGCAGCAGGGTTTCTTCAGGCAATATTTTCCTGTCCTGAAATGGCCCCCTCCGCCTCTGCAACTGCTGAGTTCCTCAGGAATCAGGAGAAATAGGAGGGAAAAGAGCCACAGCGAGGTCTAACAAATCTTGATAGTGTCATTTCTCATCCCGTTGTTTCATTTTGGCAGCCACCAGACCACAAAAGAGGAAGAGGGTATCAAGACATAACAATTTCGGCGCGGAAAAGAGATTTGTCATATAATAAATAAGATTATTAGAGCTGTCAGCAGAAGAGTCTTGAGATTATTTGTGCCTCCCTGTCTGCAACACTTGGGAAAATACATGTAGGAAGACAGAAACAGCTCATTTCATCTGGAGGAATCGTTCGTTTGCCTGCATCCATTGGTGGCACTGAGATGCTATGAGCAAATATGTAGCACTTTCTGCCCATTATCTCCACTCATTCCAGTCCTGTTGGCTCTGTGGGAGGAGTTGAACTCAGTCATTTTTTTCCTGGGCTCTTAAAACCAAAATCCTCTTTTTATCATTTGTATTGCTGGAATACCTACCAGATGCTGGAATAACGTTCAAAATGACAAACCAGTGGAAAACAAAACTGCTCTTTAGCCAGACTGCATTTGTAAATAATAGGGCACCTCTTCTCGCTTCCAATAAATAAATAAATAACTTTTTCTATTTATTTCAAGACCTGTTCTTGCTACAGATCTCTGTATAATAGACTTTGTCTCGGGGGTAAAAATAAAATGTTGTTTTAATGTGTGGGGTCCAAAGGTTACAGCTTCTATGTCCATGAGCAAATCACAGAGGCAATGGAGGTTTTCAGTTCCCATCGAGAACTGCAAGAACTTTGTATGTTGGGCATGATTTTATGTATTGGGGTGCAGCATGACAAGATGACAGCAACATTTGGCTCGTTATGTTCTTGCAAAAGGCTGTAGATGGATTTCCTGCCCATGGTAAGTTGGTAAGTCCAAGCACTTTGCTTTTCCAGCTCACTATTGCTTCAGCTGGAAGCCAATGGATTCCATTTATTTCCAGTATATTTTGCTGATAATTGAGAGGGAGGTAGGGAGGTATTTCAAAGGATCCAAAAGGTGGACAGGTTTTTTTTGATACAGTTTTTCATTTTGGGAGAAAGAAGTGTCACCAAGAATGGCTTGTATAGACTGATGCCCTTTCATTGTGTAGCTACCACTTGGAAAAACTACTTCAGCATTAAAAAGGAAGACTGATATAAAAGGGAGAAAAATCCGTTGAAAATGTTATTTATTCCTCCTATACATTAATAGTGAGAAGAATAAAAAATAAAGGTCAAATTTTTTGTCTATTCAGTGTTGAGTATAATATAGAAAGTCCCAGTGCTCGAGAAATTGTGACTCCTTGGACTGCAATGGACTTGAAATTAGATGTTAAGGCAGATGTAAAATACATCAGTAGCAGTCTTAAGATTAACACTTAGTTGCCAGTCCTTTATTGTAATTCCTTAGAGCAGGTGGAGCAGGAGCTGGTGCATCCAGCGCTGCAGCCTCTATCTCAGCTCCTTGCATCAGTGTTTTAAGTCATAGGAGACTGTAGCATTGCTGTATTTATTCCTCACCTTTCCACCTCTTTGGGTGCTCTCTGTGCATTTTGTCTGTTTACATGGGGTTTTTTTGTAGTGTAAGATGCGAAATTTTCTATTTTTTCATAAAAATAAAAACCTTTGACTAACAGCAACATCCAGTTGTGGATCACACGTACGCTTGACCCCTCGACTTTCCACAAAGCATCAGGATTTCCCCCCAGGGAAAGGAAATAAATTCTCTGTATTTTTCTCTCCTAAATGCAGATTTGGTGCTGCTCTTGTGGTCCCTGAGTGAAATAGAGGCCTTTGGGAAGAGTGAGACATGTAGACCCATAGGAATGCATCTGCCCTTGTTACAGGCTGTTCCCACTTTTTCTCTATGTTTTGGGGGTAAAATACACCGTTTTAGTCTAGTTTCTAGGGCAAAGGGCCTGCCAAAACCCCAGATCAGTCCCTCACCACATATCCCTCAGAAATACCTTTTTTGTGATTTTTTTTTTCCCTCCCAAGATGTGATTTTTCTCTGAATTTTTCTGAGAGGGACCCCAGCAAGCCCATGACCAGCTGAAGCACCCACCACCACATCCCCTGCTCCATGGATTTGGGGGCAACCACATGCTGCAGAGGGGGACGGGCCAGCCTTAAAGAGAGGTGAGAAAAGCTATAGGTGGGAAAGGCTGAGGTCTGAGGGGGAAAAGAGTGACCTGAGAAAGGTCATCATGGAGGTGGTGATGGGCAGCCACCATCTTCTTGTCCACTGCTAGAGACAAAGGGGAGAGGTGCAGACAGGGATACTGTGTCTCCTGACAGGAGAGGAAGCTGTGGCAGATGATGGGTAGTGATACACTCACACCATGGCCAGGAAAGGCATGACAGGCTGGGACAGCAGGGGAATGCTGCCTTATATGTTAAAAGGAGCACAAGGTCAATTGGGTTAGCAAATTGAGGTTGTCAGCAGCTTGGATAAAATCTCTCTGGATTGACATGCCAGTCCCCTCTCAGGGTTTTCTTGTTCAGCTTCAGGTTGTCCACTGCTGGACCACGATGGTGGCAGATGCTGTAAGGAATCAGAGGGGCTCTGAGGACAGAGGGAAGAACTGTTCATTTGCCCATGCAGACAGCATCCTTGATAGCTTC